TGATCTAGTTTACATCAGAGTACCACGTAGATTGCAAAGCCTGAACGGAAGAAGACAGCCTCTTAACTGATCACTGCAGTTATTATTCAGCAGGTTTTGAGCATCTCTGATTTATGTAGATTTTTATGATTAATGCTATTAGATATGGCTTCTATACCAATATAAATTTAAACCAACCTAATATTCCTGAAACTCAAATGGAATCTCGATGATTTTTGGAAAGCTATTCCACAAAGACAATTTTACTACACTATACATTTGGGCAAGTGGGTAATCAACTTAGTTATACTAGATAGCCTTAGCTGTTCTATAAATACAGACCAAAAAATGAAAAATGTTTTCTCAAGTTATAGGAAGCCAGATTCATAACCATCCGTCACTTGCTTGGGCAAGTTACTGATAAACTCTGCAGAAAAATAACAAACAGTGTGTCCCTGCACCTTGGCTGTTGAAAATGAGATTCTTTCTCTGATTGATGTTAGCAGAGAGGCTTGTAAAAATGCATTTCCAACTGATTAGTTCAGAAAGTGTCAATCTCATGCAGTTTTATGACCTGCAGACTACATGCCAGATGTACATTTGCTTTTTATAAACTAACAAAGATGAATGACTAAATTTGAGCATTCCTCTTTGGCAACTGTACCATCTATTGCCTAAGGGAAGTCACTGTGGGAGCATTATGGCGGGGAAGAAGAGGGTAAGGAGCACGTAACCCTTAATTTACCAGATTCATGGAGATAAAATATAATATTTGGAAATACTTTTCCTATTGAGTCTTTTCTACTTTTGTTGAAGAATGACTACAAGGGAAAACCTGCAAGAATATCAGATATTTGTGGTGTTACTCTCCCAAACATATGCAACCATTCTAAATCCATCGAGTACGAACTAAAGGTACCATATCATAAAACACATTTGAAAGATTCCCCATAAACATCAGCGTATAACTATGATTGGGATGCAAAGGTTGAGGTTTTTTAAATTTTTTCATTTCTTTGGTGTTTTTTGTTTTTTTGTTTTTTTGGTTTTTTTTGAAACAGGCTCTCTCCCTATCACCCAGGCTGGAGCACAGCGGTGGGATCATCCTTCACTGCAGCCTCGAACTCCTGGGCTCAAGTGATCCTCCCACCCCAGCCTCCCAAGTAGCTGGGACTTCAGGTGCACACCACCGTACCTGGCTAAGTGTTCTAACTTTTTGTAGAGATAGGGTCTCACTATGTTACCCAGGCCTGTCTTGAATTACTGGGCTCAAGTGATCCTCCCATCTCGGCCTCCCAAAGTGCTAGGATTACAGGCGTGAGCCACTGTGCCTGGCTAATTGTTTTTTTGAAGCCAGAAATGATATGGGAGCAGTAGGTCTATAGTCTACTACTTCAGAAGTCCAAGTCTTAACAACTATGCTTCTATTTCTTTTAGAGAGAGGGAGGAAAAATGTTTTACATTATTATTATATATCCTCATGAAAAATAAGCCAATAGCACACTGTTGTCTTTCTTCCACTAGAAATATTGAGAAATATTTATGCATTTTTCATCTTCATGCCCTTTTGCCTAGGAAGGTAATATTTTGATAAGTTTATATGAAATTTCCAAATTCAGTTTCATTTGATTTTCTTTTTTTTTTTTTTTTTTTTTTTTGAGATGGAGTCTTGCTCTCTCACCCAGACTGAAGTGCGGTGGTGCGATCTCGGCTCACTGCAACTTCCGCCTCCTGGGTTCAAGCAATTCTTCTGCCTCAGCCTCCCAAGTAGCTGGGATTACAGGCGCCCACCACCACGCCCCTCTAATTTTTTTGTATTTTTAGTAGAGATGGGGTTTCACCATGTTGGCCAGGCTGGTCTCGAATTCCTTACCTCAGGTGATCCACCCACCTCAGCCTCCCAAAGTGCTGGGATTACAGGTGTGAGCTACTACGCCCAGCTTGATTATCTTAAAACATGATTTTAGTTTTCTCCAGAGAAATAAACATGCAGTTTCAAATGATTAACAACTCATTATCTTAGAAATATAACAGACATGAAAATACATATACTATCATCAGGAAACCTTGTGTCATCAGATCTGCTTATCAGAAATCCTGACCCACACATTTTCATGTGTATGGAAATTATGGTAACAAAAAACTTAAACTATTAGTGTGAAAAGAGTCCAACTTCATAAATTTAATTCAGGTATTCACTTATTAAGCCTTTCCCCACTCCCCCAACTTAGTGAAGAGATTTTTAGTTGCTGTCTCTGGATAAGCTAGGTCTCTGTCAATTTCAGGTGACAGAAAATTTAATTCAAACAGACTTAAGGAAAAAGGGAATGCCTTCATTTCTATAACTAAAAAGCCCAGCAGGTCAAATGCAGCTTATGGCAAAAACCTCAAACGTTTTTGTGTCTGTGTCTGACCTGTTAGTTTTTCCTCCAGCCCTTGCTCTGTTTGCCTGGGGATGACTCCATTCCCAGAAGCTTCTATAACGGCAGCAAGGTGGCTGCAGCAATCTCAGCCACACAGCCTCATAGATCAAGCCTGGTTGAGGGGTAAGAATCTCTTTTTAGATTGTTCCTGAAATTCATTATTGTTAGACATGTTAGGTCACCTGTACATTTCTGAACCAAACACGAAGTGAAGGTTATGCACATGGCCTCAGAGGTGGGGAAGGCCGGATACGCAAACAAAAAGTTTCATCTCTTGTCCAGAGAAAGGGAAATGGGTCCGGGGAAGAACAGTGTCCACTATATGTCTTCTTCAGATGGCCAAAATGACGTGCTGAGCCAGGCCTCCTCACGTCCTGTTTCTTACCTTACCTGTGTTGTTGCTGACCTGCCTTTTAGACTGGGCAATTTAATTCAACTTTGTCTGTTTCTTTTATCTCAGTTTGCTGTCAGATAATGAAGGGGCAAGCTAATATTCTATTAATAAGAATAGCCTAATGTAAATCAATGGCTAGTATAGTTTTCTTTTTTTTAAAAAAAAAAAAGACTTTTTTTTAAATTGTGTAAATAAAACATAATGGTCATCTAGATATTTTCAGCTGAGCTTGCTATCATAGAGTCACACCCAGACTTGATAGTTCAGTTGGAAGATTTTCAAACTATTTTGTCAGTTCTCCTAAGATTAAAGTCTTCAGAAACTGATATTTTTATTAATACCAATAAATGTAATTATCAAGGAGATAAAAATTCATGTTTTCAGCTGGGCTCAGTGGCTGAGCCTATAATCCCAGCACTTTGAGAGGCCTAGGCAGGTGGATCACTTGAGGTCTGGAGTTCGAGACCAGCCTGGCCAAAATGGTGAGACCCCATCTCTACTAAAAATACAAAAATTAGCCAGGCATGGTGGCAGGTGCCTGTAGTCCCAGCTACTCAGGAGGCTGAGGCAGGAGAATCACTTGAACCAGTTAGGCAGAGGTTGCGGTGAGCTGAGATCATGCCACTGCACTCCAGCCTGGATGACAGAGGAAGACTCAGTCAAAAAAAAAAAAAAAAAATTCATGTTTTTCAACTGGTCAGTAAAGCCTGACCTTAAAAGATAATGTTATCAAATGATCATAACTTGACAAACACTCAACTGCTACTGGATGGTTATAGCTTTTAAACAGAAGACTTACATGGGCCATTGAGTGTAGTTTGCCTTTGATGTTCCTGGAGAAAGCACTGGCAAATCCTTCTCATCCATTATTCCTTTCATGTCATCACTACTATAGGTCAGTTTTTCATGATGGATTTCTTATTATTTCTAATATTATGGCCGATTTACATTTACCACATTTTAATTAATACCTCCATTTTAGTCGGTGTATTCTAGGAGTCCAGGCTCTTGTTTAAAATTTGGGAAATGCCTGATTTTATCTGGAACACACTTAACCTTCCTCAGAAGAGCTATTTTTTGTTGTTGTTGTTATTGTTGTTGTTGTTGTTTGTTGTTGTTGAGACAGAGTTATGCTCTGTTGCCCAGGCTGGAGTGCAGTGGTGCATTCTCGGCTCACTTCAACCTCCGCCTCCTGGGTTCAAGTGATTCTCCTGCTTCAGCCACCTGAGTAGCTGGGACTACAGGCACCTGCCACCACGCCTGGCTAATTTTAGAGATGGGGTTTCACCATGTTGGCCAGGCTGGTCTCAAGCTCCTGACCCCAGGTGATATGCCTGCCTCAGCCTCCCAAAGTGCTGGGATTACAGGCGTGAGCCACTGCACTGGCCAGAAGAGCTATTTTATTGAAAGGTGGTTGGCTAGTCTCATCCATTTTATATTGATTTGTGTTTGCTACACTTCATAAACTTCACTTTCTGACCCTTCCCAAATTTTAGAGCTTCATCCTACATAGATTCCTATTTACCATACACACTGTGCTAACTCCTAGTGCGTTGTCTCTAAAATATAGGATATTTGAGTAGCTTTACTTATAACTAATCCATATGCCTTCATACTACTACTAATAGATTGTTCTAATCACTAATTTTTTATTTCTTACTCAGAACAAACATTATATGATTCTTTTCAGCCATCTCTAATCCAAGTATTTACTCTTCATGAACGCAGATGCAAGTAGATTTGTATGTCACGTAATGATGGGGATACGTTCTGAGATAGGTGTTGTCAGGCAATTTCATCACGGTGGGAGCATCGTGGCGTGCACTCACGCAAATCTAGATGACACAGCCTACTACACTCCTAGGCTACTCATCTGTACAGCATGTTACTCTACTGAATACTGAGGCAGTTGTAACACGGTGGTATTTGTGTATCTAAACATAGAAAAGGTACCGTAAAAATACAGCATTATTATCTATGGGACCACCCTTTTATATGTGGTCTGTCATTATGTGGCATATGACTGTGTTGTATTTCTATTTCTTCTGGTTTCAAAAAGTGTGCCTGGTAGAAATTACTATCAGATAGTCAGTGGAAAATCACTTGATGTGAGAAAAAAAAAAAAACAGTCAAGAAACAAAACTGATTCTACATTATGGCATTGAAAGGAAAATTCCCTTACTGGGGAACATTTCTCTCTACAGATGGACTCATTGACTGCATGGATCCCGATTGCTGCCTACAGAGTTCCTGCCAGAATCAACCCTATTGTCGGGGCCTGCCGGATCCTCAGGACATCATTAGCCAAAGCCTTCAGTCGCCTTCTCAGCAAGCTGCCAAATCCTTTTATGATCGAGTCAGTTTTCTTATAGGATCTGATAGCACCCATGTTATACCTGGAGAAAGTCCTTTCAATAAGAGGTTAATGCTTCTTTTCTGTATGTAGATTTGTAATGATGTTATCAACAGTTACATATACTTTATGTGAAATACTCATGACTGTGAGCTTGAGGAAAGTGCTGTTTTTTAAATACAGTTTTTCCCCTTTCTGCAAAGTCTTCACCAAACTTTGCATTTCAAGCATTTTTAACACAGTTCACATACTTTGTGAATTTCAGTGCCTGAGACATAACAGGACATTACATTAAAGAGTCAATAAATCTTCATTTAACTAGTTGATTTTGTTGGCACAGTTGGAAATGTTTCAAAAGAAGCAATGAAAAGACCCCAAAAGGCAAAACAGAAGTGCCCTTTTTTTTTTTAGCTGAGCTCACTAAGTGATATAAATTATGAATTAATGTAATGGAACTGCTGACGGCATGGCAGTAAGATTGCATAAGCTGTTTGACTGGTGCTTTACAGAGCAGTAATGACCTGAAAATAAACCAGTAAGTGAAAGCAGGTGTCTTGTGTCTCACTGAGCAAAAGAAGATGATTTACACCAGAACTCCTGGGTCTGCAGTAATTTAACAGCATTAATGCAGTTATAGCCAGCAGTTGATTAAAAGTTGTACAAATGTTCCTTATTGCCCCCTTAAATCTTATACTTCTTGGTCCCTGAAGATTTACTGATTGCCTCAGAATTAATTGGAAAGTCTACTTTTCTTCATGTGAGCACCATATATATGACTTATGAAAAAAGCACAGAGTTTATCATTTTAAAAATTCATCTCTAAATTATTGGTCTTGATAACACTCCAAAAAACAGATTGCCACAAATTAAAACCCAGGATACACACAAGGCATTTAGAGAATATGAATTACACTGAATTAAAAGGGACATTGTCTTGGGAGTATTTCAGGTCTGGTTTTTGTGAATAACGATTGATTGCATAGAATAGTGTTATTTTATCCTTAGGTTGAATTATCTATAAATCATGATAATGTTGGCCTGAAAAGACAGATGTTCATTCTCATTCTTCTACTTTTCCAACAGCCTTGCATCTGTCATCAGAGGCCAAGTACTGACTGCTGATGGAACTCCACTTATTGGAGTAAATGTCTCGTTTTTCCATTACCCAGAATATGGATATACTATTACCCGCCAGGATGGAATGTGAGTTAGTCCCATCACACTGTCTCTGAAGGATTTGAAATATAAAAACTAGACCTTCCTGTACCACTGTCATGTTTGATTGTCCTTTTTAATGTGGAAATGCAGCAACTTTTAGACTCTAGAAACTTGTGACAGTACCTATGGCAGAGATTTAAAGTCATATACTCACATACTTCTTCAAAAGTTGATTTTATTTTCTAAGGCGTGGTGATAGTACTGTAGTTTTGTGGGAGAATGCTCTTTGTCTCAGCAGATGTGTGTTGAAATCTTCAGGGGTAGTATTTCATAATGTCTATAACTGGAGCTCACATGGTTCCGAAAAAAGAGTCAATGGAAAGCAAATTTGAAAAAAAAATAAAATTGGTGAACTTGGTGAATACACATAGGGCATATGAGTATTTATTGTATAACTCTGGGAATACTCCTATAGATCTGAAACTATTTCATATAAAAGTTGGGAGAAAAAGTTGATTTTCCTTATAAAGCATATTAACATAAGGAGATGTGTGTTGGTAGTTCTGTGGGATCCAGACAATTCACTAAGCAGACCTTGTTTTTTCTTAGGTTTGACTTGGTGGCAAATGGTGGGGCCTCTCTCACTTTGGTATTTGAACGATCCCCATTCCTCACTCAGTATCATACTGTGTGGATTCCATGGAATGTCTTTTATGTGATGGATACCCTAGTCATGAAGAAAGAAGAGAATGACATTCCCAGCTGTGATCTGAGTGGATTCGTGAGACCAAATCCCATCATTGTGTCATCACCTTTATCCACCTTTTTCAGATCTTCTCCTGAAGACAGTCCCATCATTCCCGAAACACAGGTAAAATATTCTCACAGGCAGTACTTGTAAATACAAGATCTTCAGATCATGTTTTGCCAGAGAATCTTAAAAATAGGTTATAGAGGCCAGGCACGGTGGCTCATGCCTGTAATCCCAGCACTTTGGGAGGCCAAGGCAGGCAGATCATGAGGTTAGGAGTTCAAGATCAGCTTGGCCAGCATAATGAAACCCCATCTCTACTAAAAATACAAAAAAAAAAATTAGCCAGGCATGGTGATGAGCGCCTGTAGTCCCAGCCACTTGGGAGGCTGAGGCAGGAGAATTGCTTGAACCAGGGAGGCAGAGGTTGCAGTAAGCTGAGATCGCACTATTGCACTCCAGCCTGGGCAACACAGTGAGACCTTGTCTCAAAAAAAAAAAAAAAAAAAAAAAAAAAAAAAAACCATGGATTATGAAATTCCAGTGTCATCTTTAAGTAATTCTATAGAATGAATTATTGTGTGTGTGTGTGTGTGTGTGTGTGTGTGTGTGTGTGTGTGTGTCCTAGAGTAGATATTGTTATAGTAGGATATCTAGTTATTTCTTTCTTTTTTTTTTTTTTGAGATGGAGTCTCACTCTGTCGCCCAGGCTGGAGTGCAGTGGCGCGATCTCAGCTCACTACAAGCTCTGCCTCCTGGATTCATGCCATTGTCCTGCCTCAGCCTCCTGAGTAGCTGGGACTACAGGCACCGCCACCGCACCCGGCTAATTTTTGTATTTTTAGTAGAGACGAGGTTTCACCGTGTTAGCCAGGATGGTCTCAATCTCCTGACCTCGTGATCCGCCCACCTCCCAAAGTGCTGGGATTACAGGCATGAGCCACCGCGCCTGGTTTATCCAGTTATTTCTCAAAGATCTACTCAAACGAAATACTTTTTCTTCAGGATATATCTTACATATTAGTAATAGTCAAATGAAAATATAGCTTCAACTCAATCACTAATAATTTCTTTGCTCATTTATTTATTGAAAAAAAAAACTTTAGTGTCTAAATGTACCTGACAGCTTGACCGACATTGTACCAAGTGCTACTGACACCACTCACTATTACACATGGCTATTAGTCTCAATAACTTACTGTTTAATTATTGTTATAAGTAAAAAGTGTTTTGGAAAAGGTATTTTTGACAGAAAATATTCATTAATATAACTTTCTAAGGAATAGCCATGCGTTCCCCATTCGTTTCATCTACTGAAACATCTGAGGATTGTGTTCCATCCAACATGTTTCCAGTTAGAAATAACTTTCAGATCTTACAAGCAGGACATTAGGTATAATAATAATGGACTTTGCCAGGCGGCATGGCTCACTACTATAATTCCAGCACTTTGGGAGGCCAAGGCAGGAGGATGGATTGAGCCCAGGAATTTGAGACCAACCTGGGCAACATGACAAAACCCTGTCTCTACAAAATATACAAAAAATTAGCCAGGTGTGATGGCATGCACCTGTAGTCCCAGCTACTCAGGAGGCAGAGGTGGGAGGATCACTCCAGGGAGGTCAAGGCTGCGTGAACCATGAGTCCCACTGCACTCCAGCCTGGGCGCCAGGAGTGAGACCCTGTTTCAAAAATATGTATATAATAATAGACTGTATTCGTAAAGAGGTAAGGAAAAATCTGAGGTCATTAAAATACACTACCACATAGCAGCTTTGTCATAGTCACTGTCCAGATATGTATTGAACACCTGTTCTGTAGCAGGTGCTGTTATGTGGGAACAAAGCAGTAAACCGCTGAGATGAGGTGCCTGCTCTCACTGAGCTTCCCAGCTCATGAGTGGAGAGAGGCAGTCAACAGAAATACGTCAGGTTGCGATGAGACTTACTAAAAAATAATAAAGCAGGGGACAGTGGATGGAGGTATGATCTAATGTAGTAGAGTCTGAGAAGATCTCTTCAATAAGGTGACATTTCAGCACAAACTTTAAGCAAGTAAAAGAACAAGCCCTGAAAATAGAAGGGGATTTTTGGCTTGTTTGAGGAGTGGCAAAAAGGACAGGCAGCACAGCTGGAGTGAAGGCGGCAGTCAATAAATCACAAGCCATGGAAGACCATGGTGAAAATAACTCTTCGAGAATTGGAAGCCATTGAAGACCATGGCGAAAATAACTCTTCGAGAATTGGAAGCCATTGAAGACCATGGCGAAAATAACTCTTCGAGAATTGGAAGCCATTGAAGGTGTCTAAGCAGATCACTAACACTCACTGATTTCCTCCTTTAAGGAACTTCTGTGCTGAGAGTATTCTCTATTGGGCAAGGGTGGAAACAAGAAGACCAGTTAGGAAGCAACTTCAGTTGTTCCCAGGAGAAATTTTGGTGACTTGGACAAAAGTCTTTGAGGGTAGAAGTAGACACGGAAGAGCGGAGTCCAGGAAAGAGGTTGAAACTGAAGAGGTAAATTTGGGAGTCATTCGCATATAAATATAAAGCACTGGGGGAGATCACCTAGGGAGGGAGTACAGCTAGAGACTACAAGAGGTGAGCCAGAAAGGTCTAGGATAACAAAAAACAAAAAGGCTCACAGGCAAAGACGTTGCAGCAGCAACACCTCAGGGATTCATTGTGAAGTGGTCAAGCCAACTTTGAGCTGAAACTTTAAGAAGTTCATTGTAACCTCAATCAATTTAATACTTCCTCCCCAGGCCCATCTTGCAAGAACTCTGGACTTCGTAGTCAGTCCTAAAATAGACTTTACCTAGAGTCAGTATCTGTCTGTAGGTGTCAATTTTTTAGCAAACTAGGGCATTAAAATGGGTTTCAGATAGTCAACAATTCCATGAATACATGGAGTCTTTTCTGCATTCATTCATGCAGTAGGCAAATATTTCATAGAAATGTACTGAGAGCCTACTGTGTACAAGGTACTTTACTAGGATAAAAAGAAGAGTAAGACATGCATCCTGCCATTCTAAATGTGATAAAGATTTTAATGAAAAATCGTACAAGTTCAAAGGAGAGGTCAATTCCTGAGTAAGCCAAAGAAAGAATGACTGAGGAGTTTGGTCTTAAACAAGGATTAGGCTAGAGAGGGAAGAAAGCATGTTTCAGATTGAAGATGTGTAAGCAACAGGGGAGTGGCAAAAACAAGTCATGTTGTGGAGGGGATAATGGGGAAGGAGGCAGAAGATGACCCCAGGGCCAGTTTATGAATGGCCCTGAGGCGCAATCCAGTGGGGACCTTGAATTCTTTAGGTGATGCGGAACCCAGGCCCCAGTGGAGTTTTTTCAGCATTTCTCTAAAGTTAACTCAAGTGGCAAAACGCACTTGATAGAAGTGCAGAAGATACTGAGAGAAGAGAGAAATGAGTGAACAGGGTCTTCCTGTGACGTGTATATCCATGCGTATCCAGGGTTCACATGCAGGGGGCCTTGCAGTCACAATGATAGTGGAAATGAGGAAGAGGGAACACATTAGACAGGGACTGGAAGGTAGAATTGGCAGGACATGGTTCCTAACCGAACGCTTAACAGGATCAGGAATAGGATTTACAGCTCACGCAGCTGGCAGAAGTAGTCCTGATGGTTTATTTTCCCACTTTGGCTGGATTTACCTTTCCTTCTAATGCTCAATAACATGGTCAAGTTAAATTACATCAGAGGAACACATGCTTTAATGAACAGAATTACAGATACTAAAATCAAGCATAACACATGATATTTTGAAATAGAGAGGCAGCTTCTGGAAGTCACAGGAAAGACATACAATATTCATAAGAGAGTCCCTTACTCATGGAAGACCTATCAAATGGGTGGGAAATTATTTTGAAAATAAATTAAGAGGAAGCAAATGACGGGCTCTAGGTTAAATCGCATATTATCAGGACCATTCTGGAGTCACCAAATCTATTTTTCAAACTAACTCATTGATGTTTCACTGATTATGGGGGAACAATGAGTTATCTTTAAACCTTTCACCCTAACAACCTACAGTCTTACAAAAGTACCCTCAGCCTTAAATTTAATGGTTTCCCCACGACTACACAGTTTCTATATGTTTGTAAACTATTTGGCTTAAGACCGTTTTGTGGCTGAATTCAGTCAGCATGTTTGAAGGAAAACTCCAATGGTAATAAATTTGTGTATCTACATTAGAAATGCCTCTTACTCTACTGTACCACATCGCGTCCCTCTTCATGCCAACACCGACTGACAGGCCAGAATGGAAGTTTCCTTCGTCCATTCATTTGTGCCACTTCCAACTGTGTGATTGTTTATATTGAAGCTGACAGCTCTACCCTCAGTACAAGGGGTCTTGGAGGGTTTTACTGAAGTTATTAAAGTCTGGAGATGGCAGATACACATCATCTTTAACTGTTCTATGTGGAGGTGTTGGGGAAAGGGGAAACATTGCTGAACACTGAATCAGTATCCTGAGATCTTTCCAACATGAAAAGGCAGTCCTTTCTATCTGAATAATGGATCTTGATAGGGCAATATGAGGAAGGCTTTGAGAGTACTGTTTAATTCTTCGTGGAGAAAGCAGTGAGTTCCTGGTGCACGTTCTTGAACACAGATAGCCTTGCACTTACAGCCTGTGTAGAAAGCCCAGGGAGAGCTGTTCTTTTTCATCAAACTCACAGGAGCATTGGTAAAGAGAATCTGAACTCTTTAGAAAAATTGTATATGCCACATGAAATACATTTTTCAAAATAAGTAATGTTTTGGCATAATGTATTTTGCATTTGTTAATATAAATGTTGTCGGCATTCACGGAGCTGGTCACACTGGTAATCTGTGGGGTTAAGAGTATAATCTTTTTTTAATTTGTAAAGGAGATAATTCTTATGCACATAATTATATTCATTTTTACAGTCCAGTTTTAAATTAAAAAGTGTGAATTGATAGGTTCTGTGTGCATTTAATAACATAATAGTTGCTCTCTAGGAGAAATTTTATGGAGCTTTAAAATATTACCTAATTTACCATCATACCAAAAACCCATGGTAAGTTGGAGCCTCAATCTTTAATTATGACAAGGTGCTATTATTACATTACCTCTCAACATGGATATGGAATTTGCTACACTTTAACCCAAATGATTGGGTCTTTTTTGTTATCCTTACTGTCTTTATAGGCTGTGACCAGCCAGCTGATGAGGCTGTAGGTATTGGTTTAGTCTCTAAAGGAGCCAGCTGGCACAGGCCAGATCTTTGGCCTAGACTGCATCCCTGTTCCGAGCTAACCGTCTTACAAATGTCTGCTCTGATTCTCCAGGGTGATGGGGTGAAAGATGGGTTAGTGAGAATCCACTGTGACTACTACACTAACGAGTCAGTGCATGTCAGCCTGATGGAGCAGTCACAGTGCTTCCCGTGTGAAGAGTAGCACCCGAGGTATGATTAACTCAGAATAAATGACAAGAGGCTTTTAGGAAGAGACATTTGGGCTGGCAGCAGAGTTATTTTTAATTATTGAATAAGATAACAGCTCAAATGCATATTTGTGAATAGTGATTCTTTTGTGTCTTATTTTAGTTGTCCGAAAGCAACTAAAATAAACACATTGTCTTTAAGAGTAACTACACTAAGACACAAAGAGTCACTATTCACAAATACAGTGAATATATGCTACATAAATGTATTTTCTCTAATAGTCATACATGATCACAGTTTGAAACTTCTGCTTTATTCAAACTTAGGTACTCCACGAGGAAACTACAATTCCAGGAACAGATTTGAAACTCTCCTACCTGAGTTCCAGAGCTGCAGGGTATAAGTCAGTTCTCAAGATCACCATGACCCAGTCTATTATTCCATTTAATTTAATGAAGGTTCATCTTATGGTAGCTGTAGTAGGAAGACTCTTCCAAAAATGGTTTCCTGCCTCACCAAACTTGGCCTATACTTTCATATGGGATAAAACAGATGCGTATAATCAGAAGGTCTATGGTCTATCTGAAGCTGTAGGTAAGTTCCATATAAATCTTTGCTGCAATGAAGTTTTTCTCAAAGCCAGAACTATCATAAATTAATTGTAACCGAAGGAAGTCAGTGGATAAACAGAATATAAAGAGAATAAGGTTGTCCTAGGGATATTATACCTTGGCTAGTTTAGATCTACGATGGGAAAAGGAATGTACTCCATGTGGCAAGAAGAAAATATCAGTCTTTCCTGGCTGAAATTCTGTTGTTGAGGAATGCTCTGAGTGAGATTTCAGCTTGTCACATCCTTTTTCCCCCCATGTTTCTTTCCTTATTGTGTCCCTTTCTTTTTTCATTTTCTTCTCTTTATAATTTTACCTCCCTGGATTTCCTTATTTGTTTTCGTGTCTGTATCTAACACTAATGTATTTTCAATGCATATTGATATTAAACAGGATAGCAGACATTTGTGTCCATGAATTACATTAGCTGTTTTCACTAGAAGGGCCAGTTCATTCAGTGAAAGGACAATCAAACCAGTTGTTTTATTGAATGACTGGACAACGCAATCAAAGTGTGACGTGTTGAGAGACAGAGAGAAAGAGATTAGGTATATAGTATAGCTTCAAGCTCAGAGCATCAAAAACTAAAGAATGATATGTTTTTGTTTTAGTTTTTACCTTAAAATAGGATATTGTACTCTGAAATTAATAGGTAATTTGGATTTGAATTAGTTCAAATCAATCCAGTAGTTGCCACTTCTCCTTTCATTCTTTCTAAATTTTAAAATCCCTGTTTCATTGTGAACCCTGGAAAGTTTTTCATCTGTGATTTATTCATATCACTGCTAGTTTGTTTATTTCTGATAGTAATATGTCAATGTAATGTCATAATCTGGCTAGTTTTTTTGTTCCATTGAACCTTACTTATCATAAATATTTTCCGTGATTTAACACTCCTGAAAACTAAAGAGTTCTAATTATTCAGATGGCAAACATTATTTTTAGTTGTTATCTAATCACTATTTGAGGCTGATCTAATTACTTAACCAGCTGCCCAATCTGGACTTTATTTTGTGCTGTGAACCCCTCATGAAGGGGTGGTATGGGGAAGGAAAACACTCATTTTCTGTTAAATCAGTAGAAAATAATATTTGGAGATCATTTTTTAAAAATCTTGTATATGGTCAAATCTTCTTAAATTAAAAAATAAACTGCTCACAAATAAGTGGAAATACAGTCTCAGAACACAGATGCGAAAAAGGCAGTTTTTTCCAAGTAAGAAAATAAATTGCATTTCCCCCAGTAGTTGGAAAGATGAGCTGTGATTTGTTTGGATTCCAGTGTCAGTTGGATATGAGTATGAGTCGTGTTTGGACCTGACTCTGTGGGAAAAGAGGACTGCCATTCTGCAGGGCTATGAATTGGATGCATCCAACATGGGTGGCTGGACATTAGATAAACATCACGTGCTGGATGTACAGAACGGTGAGCTCTTGTTCATAGATAGCTGATATGATATCGTAATGTATTGTTCATAGATAGCTAATGTCGCCTACTTTCCAACTCACGAGATCGTAGCAACATTTTATCCTATCCATGCTGTAGGATTAGAAATGGCAGAAAAAGAATAAAGGTGAATTTTTAAAGATTATAAAAGCCTAAAGTGGGAACTATATAACACTTTCTTAATAGACTTTAAAATGTTCATGTATTCATCGCCGAAACGATCTTCCCATCAGAATGTGAAAGACTGACTTTGGTGTTGCAGTGAAGGATCTCTGAGTGCTCGTCTTCAGCACGGATTCACCTAGCGTGTCTCATTCCACAGCGAGTCAGTGAGTGTGAGCCAAAGTACTTAGAAAGATTTACCAAAAATGGAGGGAGGGGGATTTGTTTTTAAAATAAAGAAAAAAAAATCATGTGACTTCACCGAAATATTTTTACTAGATTTTAATTCTTGGGTAATTATTCTGATTATCTAGATTTTTTTTTTTCGGTTCTTCTTAGACTATTAGGGAAATAAAACATTCTGGCACTCAAATGGGGTCACTTATATTGTTACTTGACTTGATGAATATTAGGGGAAAAAATAAATAATCTGAGAAAAAAGCAAGAAGCAAAAGTGTTCCTAGGAGTAGACCTGATAATGAGCTAGTGAATATGCTCTGAAGAAACATGTTTCAGATGCCGCAGACCAAAAGAGGAATGAATATGTGCAAAATATGACCAGCCTAATCTCATCAAGAGTATTATTTATATGAAACACAATTCTGTTGTGTAGACTATGTTTCCAACATTTTGCCCACATACTAGCTGCATCTCAGACAACTTAAAGGGTGCTTTGCTAGAAAAGCAAGACCTTAAGTTAGTCTGTTATACTTTGGCCTCCCGTCCTAAACCATATCATACTAGTACTCTACTTTTACTGATAGCCAGAGAAAAAAGTCACAATCTCAGCAAAATAATGTAGCTCTTGACTTTGCAGAGGTTTTTGGAAGGTTCAGAATGTTGACTTGACAGTGTAGTACAATTAAATGTTTATAGTTAATGTCACTTTTTCAGATTAATGTTGCTTCAATGTTCATTCCTCCTTAAAACAGTTTTTTGTGGGTGTTGGAGAATGCATTTTAACCTTCCAAATATATGCAGTCTAAAGTAGTTTTCAGACCAGTGCTTGAAAATGCTCTTGCTGCACCGGATGCTGTGGCTTATGCCTGTAATCTCAAAACTTTGGGAGGCCAAAGCAGGTGGATCACTTGACGTCAGGAGTTTGAGACCAGCCTGGCCAACATGATAAAACCCTGTCTCTACAAAATATACAAAAATTAGCCATTTGTGGTGTTGCACACCTGTCGTCCCAGCAACTCAGGAGGCTATGGTGGGAAAATCGCTGGAACCTAGGAGGTGGAGGTTCCAGTGAGCTAAGATCGTGCCACTGTACTCCAGCCTGAGTGACAGAGTGAGACTCTGTCTCAAAAAACAAAACAAGGAAGAAAATGCTAGTGCCTTCCCTCCAGGAAATAATAGTCTGAGAAAATCAGTAGTAAGGAAAAACAAACAAAAAAGCAGAAAAACCCTTCCCTGCTTCACTATTTTATAGCAGTATATTAAGCTCTGCACCCCTTCCAGTTATGTCCGGACATCAGGATGCAGTTCAATTTGCACCCCAAATTAAGCAGAGCTGCTGTCTAGTGCCACATGCAGCACACAGTGAAAAGGTGGGACTCCTGACCAAGCAAGGGACTCCAGTGTTCTCTCAGAGCCTCTCAACTCATCAGTGGTGTCTGGAGCAGTAGTAGTCTCATTCTATTATATTAGTAGCACAAGGTTCAATCCTGGTCTTTTAAAATGAGAGGCCATATGCCAAACATGCTAGTAGCTGCTCTTGATGACATTATGTAAAATTATATTTCACACAGTTTGAACGTATTTCTGTATTCCTTCAGAAGCCCTCTACAAACAAAACTAGGGGAAACGTCTCTAGATGCCATTTAGTTATGATGGCATTTATTTTATAGGGTAAAGTTCATAACCAATTAGCTACAGGATTTCACTGAAGAGATTACAAATCAATAGGAAAACTACAGGCATCTCTGTAGCTCCGAAAAAGCCCATGCCTCTGTAATTACCATTGTGTGATACAACACAGGATACTATATTCAGGAGGATTCAGCAATGTGTAGATATTCTGTGTATGTATAATATAAATACACACATATTCTAAACCAGAATAACATATGGTTAACTTCTATTAAAATATCAGGGCAGATGTAAAAACCAAACTTTCCAAAATGCTGTCCTCAAAAAAAAATGTTCTAAATTATAAAATATATTTAGGCCGAGCACAGTGGCCCACACCGGTAATCCCAGCACTTTGAGAGGCTGAGGTGGGCAGATCATTTGACATCAGGAGTTCCAGACCAGTCTGGCCAACATGGTGGAGCCCCGTATCTACTAAAAATATAAAAATTAGCCAGACATGGTGGTGGGCACCTGTAATCCCAGCTACTCGGGAGGCTGAGGCAGGAGAATCACTTGAGCCAGGGAGACGGCGCTTGCAGTGAGCCAAGATTGTGCCACTGCCCTCCAGCCTGGGCAACAGAGCAAGACTCTGTCTCAAAAATAAATAAATAAAATAAAATATATGTTATTTTTAAATGTGAGGTAACCTCAGCCACAGGGTGAACAAATTGCAGTTTAGAATTTTATCCAAGAACATTTTGACAAGTAGTGGCTTTCCAAAGTGACATGTGTCTAATTGAATAAACAAAGTGATTTGTAGTCATGACAAGGTGGATGAGCTATAGAAAGACATGAGGGAGAAGATGGAAACGTAGATGCTGACAGTTATTCATGCAGGCACCCTGAAACATGGAAATAAATATTCTAATGTTCATCTTTCTGTTCTGCCATCATAGAGAAGACGCATGAAGGGCCAATCGTTCAAAGTAATGACTGAATAAATCAGATGTCATAGAGCAGTAGTCTGACTTGTAGGATTCTTCTGATGAAAATTACACAACTGGCTCTTATAGGAAATTATAGCTCCATGATTATCAACTCACGTAATCACAGAAAGAAGAATCTTAGATATCATTAATGCATTCTTTGAATATTCAAGGCAAAATGCATTTCACCTCTTGTTATGATCTAGCCTTATTTAGCTTATTTTTCTTAAATTTGAATAAACCTGTTTTATTTCCCTGATTTCTTTATGTAAATTTGCTATGATTATTACATCACCCAAATAGCAAAGCATTAAAAAAGTAATCACAGAATGCACCTAAAATGTGCTGAGCTATAAGGAGAACATAATTATTCTAATTTCTGCTTCACTTTAAAATTATCCCAAAGTGGGGGAAAAAGCACTTTCTCAAGTTTCCTGATTGTGCTTTCGTGGGATTATTCTTTTAACAGTGTATCTGCTAAGAAGGAGAGTCGTCATCTCTGAGAACTGCTTTGGAACATAGAACATTCAATAAATATAATATATGCCTCTCTAAAGTGAAAGCAGCAGGTGGTGTATACAGATGAGAACACATTGAGAAGTGTCATAAAATATGCATGGAACAATAGCAGCTGACTACCCCGTGTGCATCACACCAAACTGGAGCCATTGATCTGTATATATCAGTGGCAAAAGGAATAAAATTAGAATCTCAACTCAAATCTAATTTCTAACTATGAAAATATTTAACATTCATTTGGAATCTTTTCTCCGATTTTCACTGAAGACCGTAAAAGAGCAGACTGGCATTTTGTCTTGATAAAATTATTGGCACTTCCATGCCTTAAAGCAGAATTCACTTTAAATAATACATTGGTCTTCCACAACAGTTTTGTTCTGTTTGACATTCTGAATAACTGCATGTATATGCATTCTCCTATCAGATGAGAGTGTCCGCGGGAATAGTCTTTGACAGTATAGGTAGAGTTAAAATAAGCCTGTGTTATCATTAACAGCTTTGGAGTTTGATATTTTCTACCTTTGTTTTCCATAACGTTTGTTAACTTTAAAGAAAATTATAAATTCAAAAGAAATTTATATTCCTGGTGCACATTTTTATTAATTGAATATTTTCAATATTGATTAACAGTTAGGCAAACTTGTTATTCCCTAAAGAATATTATGTAGAGCCTGTTTTCAAACCTAGTTGCACGTGAAGATCATCTGGAGAGTTTTTCTAAATTTCAGGGCTAGGGCTGTACCTCAGACAAATGAAACCACCGCCTCTCTGGGTGAGAAGCAGGCATTAACACTTTTTGGCAGCTCCCCAGGCCATTTCAGTGTACAGCCATGACTGGTCATCGCTGAGGTTGAGAATTGGGGTTTTAATTCTTCTTAGTCTTTTGTTCCTTTCGCCAGACATGACTTCAGTTCACAGTAGACAGCACTTTTTGTGTATATCGTATGTACTTTATCATGTAATATTTTACGCTAGGTCATTGAATACAGTTCTTTCCAATGGAGCTTCAAATAAGAATGTCTTAATCCAGACCTAACAGGCATTGAATTATAGTTAAAACAATCATGAACATGTTTGCTTTTCACCTTTACACTTTTTCATCATAAGAAAAAAACGCACTTTATTTCTTGTAGGTATACTGTACAAGGGAAATGGGGAAAACCAGTTTATCTCCCAGCAGCCTCCAGTCGTGAGTAGTATCATGGGCAATGGGCGAAGACGCAGCATTTCCTGCCCCAGTTGCAATGGTCAAGCTGATGGTAACAAGCTACTGGCCCCAGTGGCGCTAGCTTGTGGGATCGATGGCAGTCTATATGTAGGCGATTTCAACTATGTGCGGCGGATATTCCCTTCTGGAAATGTAACAAGTGTCTTAGAACTAAGGTATGTCTTTCTAAATTTGGGCTTTTAACCAAAGCTAAACCTGCCTTTTAAAAAAATGTTGAGTCTGATTTACTAATTTATTCATATAAAAATACCATCCCAAGGTTTACAATTTCCCCCAGAAAGAAGCCAGATTCTTGCTTTAAGTTAGAAGCACAGCACATATATATTGTTCCATAAGTGTATTAAAGAGCATAAAGTCACCCAGTATATAAAATATCTTACTGATTTCAGTGAATTTTCTGTGCTCTAAAATGATAGAGCTATGATTCTTAAATCTCTTTTGTTTTCTTTAGAATAACCCTGTGAAATAGGCATAGCTCTTTTATTTCAGTGGTTGAAATTAAGGCATAAAATATTTTCCTGTGATTTCAGGACCTGATATTAAATGAACTAAGGCTATGACTTTTAACTAGAATATTGGATCCTCAGGTTGGGTTAATCCATTAGCCATAATGACAATAGGAAAAGTAACATATTGTCTTTGCTTTGTTCATTTAAGTGTGATTTTCAAATCAGCCTATTCTGTACGTTAGTTGGTAAGCCCTAGACTACAGAATTCATTTCCAGTGTCATTTCTGCCAAGTTGGCAACTTTCCATACAAATAATTAAATCCCAGAATTCAACTCATTATATTTTAGAAGCCTTTTCTAACTGTGCTTTCTTTTTTTTACCTGTTTTTACCTGCTTCCACCAAGAAATAAAGATTTTAGACATAGGTAAGCATCATACCTTAAGGTTATTGTATATTTTCAAATATCCTTTTTACGTTGCAATGTGACCCTCTAAAATTGTTTTCTAAGAATATTTCATCATGAGAGAGGAAACAGTATCACAGATCATCAAAGGAATTAAAAGTGCTTAATTGAACAATTATTATACAATATATTGCAAGTTATTTACGTGGTATAATTTGAGAAACTTTTTTCAGTTGATTCACAAAATAAATTTCACTACAAAAAAGTGTAAGGAGTATCTCTGTATAACAAAAATGATTTCCAAGCATTAATTACTGACCGACACAATCTAAGCCATGTTGAACAGAATGAAAGCTGAAGCACAGTAGGAAGGTTTGAGAAGGCCTGCATTGTTCCATGAATACCCAGGACAGGCTGTGTTTTATTGGAGACTCTTTAAGAAAAAGAATCTAGAAATACTTTTCCTAGGCAAATTTTTTAAAACGTACAATTATGTGAACATGTGGCTTGGCAGAGTGAGAGACCCCAAAGCTGAAGCTTAATTATTAGCTTCCTGGTAAATTCCTCTTTGCCTATAGTTTATCTTTTCCTAAGTTGGAAGAATTACTAGATTTAAGAAGTAATGTTTTCATTGCCATTATTATGGAGGAAACGACTTTCTTCAAAGTGAAGGACAAATATAGTTGAAGCAAATATATAGACTCAGAAGTGTTTCATGTTCCACTTTCTGTGTACACGGAGCTGCAGAAGATACAAGAAAGACTTGTATGGACACATTTGATTGAAAAACTTTGCGAAGGATAGAAAAAAAAAAGGCGGGGAAAACCAATGTTTTAAAGTAAAGCTAGCAAAAAGCTAGACAGGTTAGAAATGCTAGATCTATTTTATCTCATTAAAATAGCTAAGGAAATGATATCACATGGAAACAATAATATTTTATGTGAGGTCTTTTAGATGAATTAGTCAACAAAACCCCTTTAACCTGTTGTGTAGTGATTGACAACTAGCAAACGAAAACCACAGTTCTAGTGAAAGATGGATAGCTGTTGCATATCAGGGTGACCAGACGCGGCCCCATGATCTTTTCCTGAGATCCCCTATTGATCTTATACTCTCAGCTAATAGCTTAGTCACACGCTAAAATCAGCACTTCATCTCTGCAGAATACTGAGCATGCAAAGCTCTGCTCTCAGAAACCATAGTAGAATATCAAAAATTTTCTTGTCTTGTTTTCTTGGTAGCCGTGGAGAAAAGAGGGAAGACAGACAGGTTGCACACCAACTAAATGTGAAAATGCTGGAGGCAATACAGAAAAAACTATCCAAGCAGCTACCTTTTAACAAGCAGGCCTATTCCATGCCAGGCTTGCTGCCAGATATTTTATATCTGTTATTGCAGATCCACACAGCAGTCCTCCAGGGTTATAGGTGACGTAGTAGAGGCTCCAGGAGGTTACGTATCTTCCCCAAAATACATGCCTAAGAAATGGGTAGCAGACAGGTAAACCACTCTGAAAATATGTTCTTTCCACTGCACCATACAGCCGGTTTTTCTGTCTCCCAATGCCTAAGTTTCTAGGGGCTCATGCCCTGGGTATGCAAAAAGTGAGACTTACTTCACAATCATTTTACCTGTTACTTAAAGCCATAATTTCTCCCTCTGGGAAAAAAAAATCTCTGAGGTTAGAGTTACATCTTTATTTAAACAGTAGGAATTCATTTTATACTAACTTCTGGTGTTTGGCAGTGATACTATTGTAATCCCTCTCTCATGATCCTCCATAACCCTTCTCCTCTGTCCATCATCCTAACTACATTTGCGCTTCTGCAGTTCCTTTATGTGCCGTGCATGCAGAGTACACTTTTTGGCTTTTATATGGATATTTAATTGTATGAAATAAATCATGTTAACTGATCACTTATCGCATGTTAGGCACTTTGAGAAATAATAATGTAAGACAAAGTACCTGTTCTCAGAACTCACAATCTAGCGGGGGAGACAAGGTATATACGTGACAAATTAAATAACATTTTCAGTACCGTTCTTTGACACTTAATCATACCCGTGGTCCATGGTTTCAAATGTGAGAATAGTTCTGTGAAGGAAGAGATTACTGGGAGATGACAGTATGGTAAGGAAACGTGCTCTGGAAGGGCTGATATTTGAGCTAGGTCTAATAATGAAGTCTGCTGAAACAGAACAGCAAGAAGAAAAGAGGGCAGTCATGAAGAAGTAGAGAAAGCAAGTAAAGTGACCGGGGACTGGGGGAGAGCTGAGCAAGACATGTTGTGAGGGTAATCAGACCCACCTGAATGGAGCAGGGGGTTCATGGTGGTACTCATGAGAGATACAGGCACAAAGGCAGGGGAGGGTCAGATTGCCTGGGGCCTTGAGTGCTCTAGGGAATTATTCTCTCCTGTAGGATACCTGAGACAGTGGGGACCCATTTTAGCGTCCTGAACAAGTGGCATACGCAAAGTGGCATACTGAAAGGAAGAATAACTTGGTGTCAGAGTTCAAAATGACTCGAGATGAGATCAGTTAGAAAGCTGTTGCACTTTGAGATGCTAGATAACCTAAAACAGGATGGTTAGCAGTGAAGGAAGCCAAGCGATAAAGGGAAGGAGAGAATGGAGAGTCTTTGTCTAAGTGATAAGAAAGAGGAAGATGTAGAGAATGCGTAAGGTCTTTGAGCCCGAATCATCAAACATGATCATGTCATTGATAAAATAGGGATTCCGTTTGTTTAGTAGGTAATAAAATTGACCTAGCAAAGTCAACATATTTTAGTTCATTGGAACTTCTTCTTTTAGCTTAAAAAATTAAAGTTCTTTTCAGATGCTTCTTCCTGTGTGCCTGCCTGTCGTCACCTCCCCTTTCCTGGTTAATAAGATCCTTCCTGGTCTGCTTCTTATCCTCGCTTTCTTGGGCAGCCTAAGAGTCATGAGAGGCTTAGGAACAGGTCATAGGAAGAAAAAGAAATTGAAAAGTGTGTCTAAATCTACAAAAGGAATGGTATTGCCAGTTGTTAATAATTAAAATATAAAAATGCACACTTTTTATCCTCTTGTATATTTCATATACTATAAACAGTCTCATTAATTGGACTAATGGGGGAATAATAAAAATATTCAATAAAAATTAATATAAAAACACATCTTCTTATTTTAAAATTCAGAGTATTCTGTTATATAAAACTAATAAGCACCACCAGGATACTACATGAAATAAAAATTCTTAGCTATACTTTAATGAATAGATATAAATATTACTGATCAACATATTAAATTTTTTACATAAATAGAAGCTGCTACAATGCTTTAAAAATGTGTTTCTTTTAGATATACCAAACATTTCCTTCTCTGATGTTTATAGTACTAGTTTGCTAACTAACCCGTTTAATATGTAGTAAATTTTACATCATCCTTGTTCCAATTCTCACACATTCCAAAATTTTAAAATTATATTAATTAATACCAGCCAAAGGGCACTTAAACATGTAGAACTAAAAATCAACTTTGTGAATTTTATATTACCAATTAAAGGATCAAAGAAAGTGTCAATCATAAGTCTGTGAATTTGAATCCATTAAAATTTAGATACCAAATTATAAAAATTTTATTCAGCACTCCTTATTGACTTAATATTTAAAAATCAAGCAGGCACGGAAATATCACACCCCCAGTCCCTGCTTGCAGTATTCTAAACAGTGTTTTGGTTACCATAAAAGAAGTCTTTTTACTTTTCTGTATAAATATAGTTTTTTATGCTTCTTCAAATGTCTTGTGTTCTAAGGACTGTGGCACAGTTTCCAACTCAAAAGATAGAAGTGCTAATAATGTCTGTTCTCTGGCTTGTTCTTTGTGAATATTTCTCTAGTCTAAGAAGGTTGAATTATGACAAAATAAATGAGCAAATCCAGCCTGCACTTACCACTGGATCTGTGTCTAATTGAATGAGACTGTAGAGAAGATGTCTTGATAATTGTGATGATCTAGGCAATTCAGGATGAGTTAAGAATCAAGGTGTAATATACTAAAGGTTCTTAACTTGATCTCAGTTTCCTTGGTTTTGCTATTAGTCAAAATTGTAATATTTCAAACCTTTCTGAAATAGCAAAATCTCAATCAATCACATAAGGATGCTGCTGTGCTTCTGCTAAGCAGAGATTTCCCAAAACCAAGCATTTGGAAAGTCCCCGTGCGCCAGCTGTTGGCTGCAGCCTGTTTCGGTCGTGGTAGCCTCACGTTTTCACACTAGATAGATCACGGACCTAAAAATTCACCACTCATCGTACCCACACACCCGCCTCTTTAGTGCTTTGGGTTTTCAGAAAGTTGGAAAGCAAGCACTAGCTCACCCTGTCAACTCTCTATGCTGAAATTAGGTGACCTTGAATCCCAGTCCTATGGCATATGATTCAGAGCTTCACTGCCACCAGTCTGTCAACTAGAAATACCCAGACTCACTTTTTTTTCCTTTTAGTACTTCCATGCTGATCCCTCTTTTCATTTAGGAGAGGCCAGCACCTAACAACCAGCTCTAATTTACCATGCCGGCCTGCGCTGCTGGGAACTTGTCAACGTCTCATTTCCTCCCATCCTGTGCGGAATATTTCCAGAGGCTCATTCTCTTCTCTAGGGCCACAGAGACTCCCTCACATTTGTTCTTCTGGACAACAGAGTTGCATCCAAAAGCGCAGCTTTCGTTTGTCAGACATTCTTAAAGCCATTGACATCTGTTGCTTGATGGAGAAATGTCTAAGTCTTCTAGGAAGGAGATGCTTCAGGACAGGAAATAAGCAAATATAAGCACCACTTTGGGCATTCTCTTATTACTTCCCCATTAGAATAAAACTGATGACAAAGGCAAGCTTATATGACTTGAATGTCCATTCGTTTTCGCACCAAGAAAACTCATGTCCCATAGCTAAGAGGATGCCACCACCACTGAAGCTGCCACCTCAAAAATCGGTTTGTTTTTTCCCAAAATGAAGGCATCCCGAGGAAGTGTGTATGGCTCATTTACCGTGAGTGAATCATCACTGTTCGTCGTTACTCTCTAAACAATTTCAAGTGGGTATTTTAAGATGAGTCTTCATTACTTTAATAGTTTAGGATATTATAAACTGCTGTTAATAACAGCAGAAGTAAGAAAACAAATTTAAATCTAGCCAAGTTTAGATTTAACAAATTTAAACCTAAACCAAGTTTAAACCCAGTTTTTCTTCTTTTAATGTTTTCAGAAACAACTCATACTTTAGTTAATTCTTGTATTCCTGCACTTTCTAAGGTTATAAGGCAAAAGACATTGCACTGTAAGAAGAGACGGGGCAAAGGCGAGTATAAGGACGGTTAATTCTTAGTGAGTATGTAGTATGCGCTAGGCCCTGTTCTAAGGATCTTACATATATTAGTTCATGTAATCCTCCCAGCATCCTATGAAATATGTATTATTATCATCACCTTTATAGGTAAGGAACCTGAGGCACAGATAAGTTAGGCAGCTTGCCCAGATCATACATTTAGTGTTAGTGATGAAGTTAGGCTTTAAACCCAGTCTCTCTGGTACAGAGTTCATACTCAAAGATACACACTGATAAGAAAAAAAATACGTGTGTATGTATACACATGAGGGTATGCATACCATGTACACAGCTGTTCACAGTTAACTGTATATTCAGGGAGGTAGGAAAGACTAAAGGGACCTCTCCAATGTCATGTCTTTCAAAGTAGACTTAGTTTGGTGGAGTTGCAACTCTGTCACCAATTATATATACCTGAAAGACCAGCTCTGGCAACATTAGACTGTTTATAGAAAGGGAAAAAAAAAAAAAACCCTATGTAAAATTGCTCTGAATGTTATATTGATATGTAACTCTTCACTTCTTACAAAGTAATAAACTACCACATTAAGGGATGCAATATGTGTTGCTGCATTTAAAATTTTAGGCATCAACTTAGGAAAATGATATAATAACACTTAGCATAGCAAGTTGATCATTTGGCATAACCCAGTTGTTCTGAAATGTTTTTCTTGCATAATGACTTGCATCTTTTCGAGTTCTTCATCTTTTTACCATTTCACACACATTTACACACTCAAGACCTCTTGCTCTAGTCTGTCTTTTGTCACTCAAAGATACTAAAGTCTGGGAAGGAGATCCCAGAGCTGAAGGTATTCAAGCCCTTGTATGCCTTTGTGTTTCTCTGTACACTAACATCACAGCCTAAGAGCTCTTCAGCGCTCCACAAGGCCTCTACAGACTCCATGTGTGATCTCCTCTCCTCCTCTAACAACATGAGAAACACTTCAACAATTTTAAGAATAAACTCTCTTACAGGAATGATAAAGTACATCTACTCAGCACTTAGAAGGAAAATCATTAAGTAGTGAAAATGTTTTATTAGAACCCAACTTCATTAGTAATGAGGAAACTACTGCATCACTATTTGAATAAAAATATTCATATAGGTAGATTTCTTCTAAATATTTTAGATGTTCACAAATAAATGGAAGCAAGCATATAACTCTGTGTGTGTGTGTGTGTGTGTGTGTGTGTGTGTGTGTCTGGCTGCATGTGGAAAGAGGGAGAGGAAGAGAGAGAATGAGAATTAATTAGTATAACTAAGTTCATCATCAGAAGATCAATGGAGTTTGATAGATTCCCATCATGTTGACATCTTGGTTGGGACACCAAATCATGTAAATTATTTTTCAGATTTTTTTCAGAAAGCAATCTTGGCACCTGTACAAGATTACATTAATTTTAAGAATGTGGCATTGAGTGTTTGTAAGGATATGAGCTTTTTAATTCCAATAATATGTCATAATTTGTCCCTCCTTGATAGTGTTGGGCTTACCATGTTTTACAAGTAATGGGACATAAAATGTTTTACATTTGCATTTCTTTATATTTATAAAATTGAGGCACTACATTTTGTATGTCACTAAATTCATAGGCAGGTTTCAGAGCAGCTCAGTATATGAACTTTAGAAAGAAAACTGAAGGATCCAGCATCCTAGCTCACTGCCACAGGCCACCAGGTGAGACTCCCCCGTACACTTGAATGACCTCATTTTAATATTTAACCCCTGGCCGGGCGCGGTGGCTCAAGCCTGTAATCCCAGCACTTTGGGAGGCCGAGGCGGGTGGATCACGAGGTCAGGAGATCGAGACTATCCTGGCTAACATGGTGAAACCCCGTCTCTACTAAAAATACAAAAAACTAGCCGGGCGGGTGGCGGGCGCCTGTAGTCTCAGCTACTTGGGAGCCTGAGGCAGGAGAATGGCGTGAACCCGGGAAGCGGAGCTTGCAGTGAGCCGAGATCACGCCACTGCACTCCAGCCTGGGAGACACAGCGAGACTCCGTCTCAAAAAAAAAAAAAAAAAAAAATTTAACCCCATAGGACAAACATTGGCACTTTTCTGGATTATGATAGAGCAACCGAGACAGATAAAGTGCTCATTTCTTCAAGGGGAGGGTGTTTAGTTTGAAAGGATAATACCCTATGGCGAGGTATGAGTGGAATCAGTAGCGTATTGTACTTCTAGGAAATTTTGATGGAGACATCCTTCGCCTGGAATAAACTTTATGTCCCTCATTCAGGGGCATTTTTTAATGGCTTTGCATTGAGCAAAAAAGATTTAGAGAATTTTTTTCTTTGTTTTAGGCTAGACACATGGTGCCTTTTAAAAGGTATATTTTTAAGATGACTGTTAGTAAATTGTTGAATCCTCAGCATCAGGCAAGGAAGACAAACAGTAATATCAGGAAATCCTACCTGTGAGCATATTCTTTTAAGTCATTATTAAATAGACAGTACTATTCATGGTCTCATCTTTGATCATGGATTCCAGACTAGAATCAGCTTCTCATGATCTGTTTTATTTTGCTTTTAATTTCCCCTCTGTGTATGGAGTAACTCCCTTGATGTTTAGGTATGATCCTTTTCAAGCAGCAACCCAGCTCATAGATACTACCTTGCAACGGACCCAGTCACAGGAGATTTGTACGTTTCTGCACAAACACCCGCAGAATTATCGCCCAAAGTCACTTACAGGGGCAAAAGACTTGACTAAAAATGCAGAAGTCGTCGCAGGAACTGGGGGCAGTGCCTTCCGTTTGACGAGGCGAGATGTGGGATGGAGGGAAGGCCGTGGAAGCCACACTCATAAGTCCTAAAGGTACTGCAGTTGGCGATTTGGAGGATTTCTCTTTTAATTTATTTGAAAAAAAAAAAAAAAGGTAGAAAACCCATTTAGTGCCTTCTCATGTTTAATGCTGAGTCTAACTTTTTTACCTTTGACAGTGTTCTGAAAAGCTGTTTCACATCAGGGTTTTTTAAAAGCCATGTAGCATGAAACTGCTAGAATCCTAACTTGGTTTTACAGTAAATATTAGGTTCTTGGCATTCTTTATTATCATACCCTTTTTTTCAGCTCTTCAAAGAATGAAGCAACTACTCCATATAATTCAGTCACATCCTGTTAAACTTCAAGGAAGTATCCAAATCTCTTTCATAGTCCTGGAATTTCTTTGTCATGAATGAGTCCCAGGCTTCTTTAAAAAACATCACTAAGCAACCCTGTGAGCCCTCACCCTCTTTGGACCTGTTCAACTTTTGTTTCTATGCCATGGGAAAAAATCCTTGCTGCGAGGAATTTTTGGAGGTAACAAGGGCTAAAAAATCTACGTGAAAAGGCTTTTAAACCAGGCAGGACTGACTCCTTGCTCATGTATTATGCCACTCAATACAATGTTTCTGGTTTGGGGCCTTTATTTTTCATGATAGCTACATCTACTGACTATTATGTGAACAAGGACTGGAAAAAGTACTGTACTGAATTATTCATCATAGAAAATTCTTGTAACAGGGTCAACAAAACACTAACCTTGGCTTAGATCTATTTTTGTTAGAAGAATATGGTTGCTGTAAGTTAGCTGGAATGGAATTTGAAGCTGGTTCTATAATTTATAGACCACAACATTATATAATCATTATAATTTATATTTGAAACATACAGGTATTACTGTGTGATTCATATACTCACAGGAGATTCTGACAAAACTGGATTATTTCCTTACTGAATTTTTTTCTTTTCTTTTTCTTTTTTTTTTTTTTTTTTTTGTGTGGAGACGGAGTCTCACCTCTGTCACCCAGGCTAGAGTGCAATGGCGCAATCTCGGCTCACTGCAACCTCTGCCTCCCGGTTCAAGCCATTCTTCTGCCTCAGCCTCCTGAATAGTTGGGACTACAGGCTCACGCTGCCACACCCAGTTATTTTTTTGTATGTTTTAGTAGAGACGGGGTTTCACCATATTGCCCAGGCTGGTTTCAAACTCGTGAGCTCAGGCAGTCCGCCTGTCTCAGCCTCCCAAAGTGCTAGGATTGCAGACGTGAGCCCCCATGTCCTGCCTCCTTACTGAATTTTTAATTTATTTGTATTATAAATGCCTATGCTGGTTTTTTTCTAATGTGTTTGCAATCTGCAGCCCTACCTGCTGCCTGTCACCGATGTCGTCACTGGGGTTAAATAATTGAGTTTAATAATGGGCCTAATAGTTAATCAAAAGTAACCATTTTTGAAAAAGTACTAATACCTGCTTCTCTCAAATACAGGAATGGCAATTGATAAGAATGGATTAATCTACTTTGTTGATGGAACCATGATTAGGAAAGTTGACCAAAATGGAATCATATCAACTCTCCTGGGCTCTAACGATTTGACTTCAGCCAGACCTTTAACCTGTGACACCAGCATGCACATCAGCCAGGTGCTTCAACACTGAGCTGGCTCGTTTGTTTCTCCTCTGGGTGACTTGACTGATTCAGTCAGTAGACTGTGATGGCACCATATGAAACTGCATATATCATGTGTTGCAGTGGTTCTGATAGGGCAGTTCTATCTACATGTATCACAGGAGCTAATAAAAAGTTATTTTCTTGTGTCATTCTGCATTTGATGAATTCAGTGGGATACAGAACAGTTATCACTAAGAAATGCTAAGCATTTGTAATAAAATACCAGTAAAGTAGCAGCATGCAGATATTCTAAAAAGAACCAAACAGCTTAAATCTCTAATCTTTTGATTGCATGAGCTCCTTGAGTAGTAGAGAGAACCCACTATGATTAGTCCCAAGGGACTTATATTTAGAATTGGAAAGTTTGCTGTTAGGCTGATTGAAAACACAATAGAACACTAATCTATTCATAACCTAGAAAGCCCCAACATTTGGTGGTTATTGCCATAGGAACACGTGTGTTCATAACTCATTGGTATCTGTTGACTCACTACTTAGAGGCTTATTTGCTATTTGCCTACAACTAGCAAATCTTACTGTGGGCTGAATTTTAAAAGAAAGTGTTATTTCTTATATTTATATTCATTCATTACTTTTTGGTTTATTTTACTGAGGCCATTGAAAAAACTATTACAAAACAGTTTATCTCAAATTAATGCCAATTTCCCTGAATGGTCTAATTTACTCTTCTGGTGAATTAACTGTAGTGCAGTAACTGACTAACCAGGCCATTTCTTTTTTTGTTTAGGTACGTCTGGAATGGCCCACTGACCTAGCCATTAACCCTATGGATAACTCCATTTATGTCCTGGATAATAATGTAGTTCTACAGATCACTGAAAATCGTCAGGTTCGCATTGCTGCTGGGCGGCCCATGCACTGTCAGGTTCCTGGAGTGGAATATCCCGTGGGGAAGCACGCAGTGCAGACAACACTGGAATCAGCTACTGCCATTGCTGTGTCCTACAGTGGGGTCCTGTACATTACTGAAACTGATGAGAAGAAAATTAACCGGATAAGGCAGGTCACAACAGATGGGGAAATCTCCTTAGTGGCCGGAATACCTTCAGAGTGTGACTGCAAAAATGATGCCAACTGTGACTGTTACCAGAGTGGAGATGGCTATGCCAAGGATGCCAAACTCAATGCCCCATCCTCCCTGGCTGCTTCTCCAGATGGTACACTGTATATTGCAGATCTAGGGAATATCCGGATCCGGGCTGTGTCAAAGAATAAGCCTTTACTTAACTCTATGAACTTTTATGAAGTTGCATCTCCAACTGATCAAGAACTCTACATCTTTGACATCAATGGTACTCACCAATATACTGTAAGTTTAGTCACTGGTGATTACCTGTACAATTTTAGCTACAGCAATGACAATGATATTACTGCTGTGACGGACAGCAATGGCAACACCCTTAGAATTAGACGGGACCCAAATCGCATGCCAGTTCGAGTGGTGTCTCCCGATAACCAAGTGATATGGTTGACGATAGGAACAAATGGATGTTTGAAAAGCATGACTGCTCAAGGACTAGAATTAGTTTTGTTTACTTACCATGGCAATAGTGGCCTTTTAGCCACTAAAAGCGATGAAACTGGATGGACAACTTTTTTTGAGTAAGTATATGAAAATTCTACTCTGATTATAAAATACTGTGATACAATAATATCATCTATAATAACAATATAATCTTAAGGGCTGGAGGATTCCATGTCTTTGAGAGCCTAGAGCTTCTACAGTTTTTTGATCCTGGCTGGGCATGGTGGCTCATTCCTGTAGTCTCAGCTCCTGGGGAGGCTGAGACGGGAGGATTGCTTGAGCCCAGGAGTTCGAGGCCACAGTGAGCTATGACTGTGCCACTGCACTCCAGGCTGAGTGACAGAGCCAGAACGTATCTCTAAAGAAAAAAAAATTAAATTCCTCTTTCTGAGAAAGAAGACAAAATTGCAAGATACAAAGTTAGATGCAGGGCCTTGGAAAGGGGAGGGACCATGTGAGGGAGAAGCCCAAAGCTTAAGTTTCAGTTGGCTGCATGGTAAATTTACCTTTACTTAAGGATTAACATCTTGCTTCAAACAGACCTAGCATCTTAGCAGCAAACCCTCTGAGAAGCATCCTGCAGCTGTGGTTTGGGGCATAAAGCCTTTGGCTCTAGGTTTGCCCACCTGATAATGCTGACTGTATCAGGAGCTTGCATTGAAGAAAAACTTGTAAAACATTCACAGTGAACTTTGCTGATTACATAAAAGGGCTTAAGTTCTTGTAATCAGTTACCGGAGAAACTACACTGTGCCTCAAAGAACCTTACAACTAAGTGAAGTCAGGAATTGCCATTTGTTGCCTGAAAGCATGTGAAGAGGTCGGAGGCTCATTCAGCCAGGGTGTTGCAATAGATAGCGTGGAGTGGTGGCCCGGGCACTGTGCCTTCTGAACAGTCACATCTCGGGAGTCACTGAGAGTGAAGGGAGAGTCAGCCGTTGTGTATGTTATGGCATGTATAAACGCGTTCTCAATTGCTTGTTCATTTGACTCAGCTGTGCAAGCCATGAGGTGAAATGAGATGTGCAGGGATGGCATGTTGACAAATGCAAAATAGTCTTTGAAATGAATCCTGAGTTCCTTAGTGTGATTTTCACCATGATATGCTGAAGCAAAAGTATTTCTTTCCGTAGGAGCACACCTCTAAAATTATAATAAAAGTCAGTAGAAAAAAATGACTCAATATACAAATATTTTCTGTACAACTTTTCTGGAATGTATCTTATACATAAAGCTTAGTTCTCCTGTAGCTTGAATTGCTTTTCTTTTTCGACAGATTCCCTTTTAATAAAATGAATGTTACCCAGCAGCATGATTTTGTCAGAGGAACAAACCTTTTCAATTGAATTACATTAAAATTCTGTGCTTAGCATTCCTCATTTTAGCATCGCAATAGGAAAGGAATAAATTGGAAGTTAATGGAAAGCACTTCCTTTGCACTGTTTTCAAAGTGATAGCAGGCTAGACTGCCAACGAGGCAAAAAAGAGCAGAGGAAAAGTGCTGCCATCAGATGAGACTGGGCAGGAGAGCTGCTCTGATTATAAGATCTTCAGGAGACAGTGGCGGCATTGGTAGGGTTTCAGTTTAGTTGAAAGCAGGGGAAACAGAGAGAAATAAGTTTTTAGTAGAGTCTACTACTCAGACCCTGCTCTCTGGGCCGTTTTTGAATGTGTCCTTACTCGTTCCCAGGAGTTCATCGCACGGGTTAGTGCGGACACTTGAACTTCCTGCAGTAGACACAGGGCTTTGCTTATGGCCTACAAATGCATTTTAATCAGGTTTGGAAAATTAGAGAAATGTCACTGGTGGCGCTAATGTGGGATAGTATAAACCAGTTTGGATTTTTTTACCTTTTAAAGAAATGATAGTGCAAAAAAGAAGATGCATTTCTCTATGAACACATAACCTCCAAGAATTTCAGACTTAGGAATCAGCAGACTGGCTGAAGTAGGGGTTAGGTTGGCAAGCCAATCTTGTTTATAATGGGAAAACAGCATTTTAAAGAATGAAAGGTTTTAATTAATTAAAACACATCAAAATCACATTTTCACCGATACTGACTCATTACATTTCTTATTTAAAGTATATCTATTAAATCTTAGAGCTAGATAAATTGCTGTCAGGGAACTAAACTATTCCAAAAAGCATTATTAAAATATCTTACCAAATATCACCCTCACAATTTTATATATATGATATATATAAAATTAACTTTTCTAATAAAATTAACAGAAATACTATTTTTAAAAACCAGTGTCTTGTTAATTTTCCTTATAAGCTGTCTACAGCACAGACGACTAAAAAATGTCTAAGAAACCTTTATGCACTTTTCAAAATAATGTGTTAAAAAAGAGCACTTTAACCCAAGGAATTCAGAATTACCATGTCAGAATGACAAATGATCATTTTTTTCTTCCCATACATTCTTGTAATTTGGCTGTGAAAGAGCAAAGGCCCGGCCTCTCCTAAGGGTCCGAAACTTTAAAACACATTCAAAAGGAAATGCGCAAAAAGAAAAGGGTGGGGGGAGGTGTCATTATCAGGCCGCCCCTGCAGCAGCCCTGTCTGTGTTCAGACACAGCAGCACGTATTGTCTGTGTAAGTTTGAGATTGTTAATGGGCAAACTCAACCCCTGTCGCTACTCATCAGAGCCTTGACAACAGAGTTTCTGCTGCTTGTCTCCTGACCTGGTGGTGCGGTGGGATGTGAGCATCCTAATAGAGGCAGCGGGGGGCCTCTGAGTCCCTGTCGGAATGCCTTTGTTTTTGTAGTTATTGGTGAACTGGCCTACTCCCAGAATATTAGTACGTATCTGTAATATTTCCCTTCATTTTTTAGAGTGCCATGCGTCTATGTGTCTACTTTAGACCTTACAAAGGGTAGCCAGTAAGTTCACAAAGAAGGGATTTGACAGGTTTGACAACGTCCGGAGTGTTACCAAAAGCACAACGAGACTGTGAAAAAAAATTGCCACCCCCCCGCTGAAAAACACCTGTTTTCTATGACTTTCATGACACCAGTCCCTTGAGCTCTGATAACATGCTCTATATTCATCTTCCTGCACAAATACCTTGCACAGAAAAGTTAAACTTTTCAGCTCAAATTCCCATTTGTATATGGCCAGCTTTCTAACTAGCCTGGTGTTTAAAAAGCCTTGAGATTAAAGCTTTTGTAGGATAGAAATAGATGGAAGAAGATCTGGAATCAATAAATTTGCCTACTGGTAAAAATATACTTGTCATAGTTCCTTCCAAAGAAATTTTAAAAGAGAATTAGTTCCAATTACTTACCTTACATGTTTTTCTTTTATTTTTTTCTTGGTACAAACTTTAGTGTACCATTAACATGTCACAGTATTGGTATAAGTACAAAATGAAATGTAGAAGTATTTCATAAAACGCAAACTTTCATTGTCTTTGTGGCTCCCGCCACTCCTGGAATGTTGCCGTGCATATAGAACTCTCCCAATAGCTATTTGTTGAATTAAGAAATAGAAGAATAAATCAAAGATGTAGACAGGTCAGTGTTTCTTTGCCGAGAAGAGTCTGGTAGAACCAAAAGCTGGCATTTGCCAAGGCTCCACTGAGAGAATACCTATAAATGCTCTTTGGCGTTCTAAGTTCGTTCACACCTCCGTACCAATAGTGAATGTTGAAAATGTTAACATTAGCCATTTTTGTTACTGATTTTTAAAAATATTTACCCAAAATTGCATGTTTGCTCACTGTATTTTGCTTTATGAAATAAGGACTTCCTCAGATGATCTTGTTATTCCAATAATTAAACAAAAAAAAACTTCCTGTTGATAGCACTTACTTCTGAAATGTTGGTGGTAAGCACAGAAAACTTATCCCATGCAAATACAGTTAAAGGATATTATTGTATCTGGTATCAGAAAGGATTCTAGGAGAAGAAAGCCTGATTCCTGATAAGTTTTCATCACCAATAAAGTAGATAGGGTGATTCTTCAGGGTACACAGATGGGGTTTCTTTAGCATGATAACTGTCATTTTGAAAACTAGAGATATCACCTGCTATTTGGCAGCAGTTTCTCTCCATGTTACTTGTAATTATTATGTCCCTATTATGATTCATTAGAGAAGTGGCCAATATTTTTAGGCATGCTACTGGATGGTATGGTGGGAAGACTACATTGGGTATCAGATGGTTTCTAACTCAGCTTTGAAATCACTGAGTTAGACTAATACGTTTCATGAGCTAAATATTCATTACTGACTGAGTAAACCATCTTGGCTCTGACCTCCTGTTCCATTGACTTGCTGGCCCATGGAAAGGACCCCAACTAGCTAACAGGGTCCCCTTGTGTGAAGACACCGTGTCTTCAGTTAGTATTAGGGACTGCTTCATGCTGCTCTTCATACCACTTTAAACAATGGCCACACACAATGATTCCTTAGCCAGAGTAATTCCAGGGAAACTAAAAAGATCTCACCTGCTAAATATTTATTATTTAAAAAGTGTATGCCCCAAAAGAAACCACGGTTCTTACACTCAAATGCACAAAGAAAGGAAATCCAGTGTATTGAATTGGGGAATAGAATAAGTTATTTAATAGTAAATGGCATTTCACAGTTCTCTGCTTGCTTACCCACATCAAATACAAACCGTTTGGGCATATCTAGAGGCTCTTCTCTCTGGTTAAAGAAGACAACATGAAAAACTATGAATTCTGGCCGATATGTACATGCACACCAGCAGGTTAGTGACTGTTTTTTTAAATCTTGGGACTTTGAATATTTGGAGCTCTGTATTTGTGGAGCTGACTCTGTGATCTTTTGTGAGCTATATTCAGATTCACAGAGCAAATCAATGAGTTTCAGCTTTTACACATTTATGTAGGTATATATGGGTCTCCGGCTTCTCATTTGGGGGGTTTATTGTCCCTCATTCAAGCTTTGCAATTTCAGAATGAGCTTCTGAATCATTTCTTTTTAATGAACTTAACTCAGTGCCCATGGCAAACGCACGACTCCCACTGACATCCGTTCTCATGCTGTAGGAGTGCCTCAGAGAAGGGATCCCCAAAGAGGAAAGACAGGCGGTGTGAACAGCGCATGTGCTACACCTAAGCCTATTTCAAGTTCAAAATTGTATACCAAAAGCACAAATAATGCAGGAAAACGCAATGATAATTATTCATTAATTAGAAAAGATATCATTAATTAGAAAAGATATGCCCATTCTTGTTGACACTGAATCCTGTTTAAACAGCCTGGCTGCAGTGCCCTACTGTGTTTTCCTTACAGAAGTGACCACGGTAATCGCTTCTAATGTTAGAAGAACTATAGAGGTATCAGCTGGGCGCGGTGGCTCACGCCTGTAATCCCAGCACTCTGGGAGGCTGAGGCGGGTGGATCACATGAGGTCAGGAGTTCGAGACCAGCCTGGCCAACATGGTGAAACCCTGTCTCTACTAGAAATATAAAAATTAGCCAGGCGTGGTGTCGCTCGCCCGTAATCGCAGCTACTCAGGAGGCTGAGGCACGAGAATCGCTTGAACCCAGGAGGCGGAGGTTGCAGTGAGCCAAGATCAGGCCACTGCACTCCAGCCTGGGTGAAAAGAGTGAGGCTCCATCTCAAAAAAAAAAAAAAGAAGAAGAAGAAGAATTATACAAGTGTCTTCCACAGGACAAAACTGAGAGGATATCCTTTCCTTTGGCAGGCATTTGCCATCCAGCCCTAAAAACTCAAACACTGAAACCATGCATCATTATTATTTCTGCCAAAAACTGCATTAAAAACTGAGCAGCCCACTTTATAGATACACACACACTTATACACATACACACACTTATACACATACACACACTTATACACACACTCATACACACACATAAAAATGGTGCTCAGCCACCTGCTTTATTTTCCTTTTCCTTTTTCTTTCTTCGTGGAAGAAAACATTTAGGAGTTTAAGAATGATTTGTAAGAGATTTTATCAGCAGATCACTTAAAATCATGGGAAAATTGATAGAATTTTAAATATTTGATTTAGTAGAATAGTTTATTTCTATTTTTGCTGTTTTGTTTAATTGCTTAATAATTTTGCTTTAAATTATTAACCAAAACGTGTATTTCCAGGGACATCAATAAAAAAAATGCATAGGCAAATTTCTAAAGTGGCTGCTGGACATTTCAAGCATTAACCTGAACACTATTAAGGCAATACTTTTATTAATACTTGATCTATTCTAGTTCCCTTCAGCAGTGTAGTTTTTAAAAACCGTTAGTTCTGCCCAGGTTTCAAAGGAGACAAGGAACTGGGGAAATAGTACGTTATTCGGATTACTCAAAAAATTACACAAAAAATAAGTCAGATAGTCTCAGTTCATCAGCTGTGTGCCTGGAGTGTGTTGATAGTCGCAAGGTTGAATTAACTCTTTCAGGGTGTTCCATCTGGCAAATCAATGTTCCACATGTGCTAACTCGTTCCATAATGGTTCTAGAGTAAATGCAGCTTCCACAAGTGTCCAGTTTCCTCTTTAAACTCATGCAACTGTCTAGATTAGACAGATGATTTGATGGCCTCATATCCGTGTGCATCATCAGCTTCCCTTACACAGTGATTATCAGGTGATTGACCCTAACACTAAGCTGTGTACACCAGCCATTTAAAATGATTGATAATAAAGCAAGAAGTGTACACATGGACGATGATTGCAAGAGAACATTTCATGTTTTACAATCACAGAACTGAAGATTGACAATTGGGTGTTTTCTAGAGACTTTCCAGCATCTGTGGCTCATTCCTCTGACATCAAAATAAAATCAATGCCAGCAGCTCTCACTCCTGGATTCTGTAACTGCTTAGCCTCCCAGGAAGGTGTTCAACACAGAGAAAGTCCTTGGCCTGTGTTTCAGGATCCTAGAGTGGTGTCAGAATATCTTGAGGCTGCAAACGCAGAACCAGCGTGGACACTGCACTACTCTTTGGAGCTCTGTCCAGGTTGGGGAAGGCAGTCTATGAAGGAGATAGGATGGTTGGGGATGCGATCCACATGCTTCAAGTCACTCTAACCCGTCACTTAGCAACACTGTCCTTCCCCACCCCATCATCACCACTGCCACTTCTTGTAAACACACATACTGACACACTTCAAAAAAGATTTCCTAGACTTCAAGTTCATCCTAAAGTTTGGTGAATCTATGGTTCTTCAAGAGAGACCCCCACAACTTCTGAAAATATTGATGTAAAGAAATACTCCTTTGTAGAGCTTTCTAAAAACTACTTTTTGTTCTCTTTAAGTGTATTTTAAGAGTGTAGGTCTGATATAACTTTAGATTTTCCCATGACTGGGCTTTTTAATAAAAAACAGTGTATAAAAAGCAAAGGCTGAAAAACTTAGTGTATTTTAAAGTCGTTAATTGATTAAGCATTTAATGAATGTAAGTCAAGCATCAGCTAGAAGAAAGATCTCATTCTGGTTTCAAACTCTAGAAAGAAAAGATGGGGCTGGGACAGTGGCTCATGCCTGTCCCAGCACTTTGGAGGCCGAGGTGGGCGGATCACGAGGTCAGGAGATCGAGACCATCCTGGCTAACACGGTGAAACCCGTCTCTACTAAAATACAAAAAATCAGCCGGGCGTGGGGCAGGCGCCTGTAGTCCCAGCTACTCGGGAGGCTTGAGACAAGAGAATGGCCTGAACCCAGGAGGGTGGAGCTTGCCAGTGAGCCAAGATCATGCCACTGCACTCCACCCTGGGCAACAGAGTGAGACTCTGTCCAAAAAAAAAAAAAAAGAAAGAAAGAAACGATGGAACCAAGTTCTAATAAAGGCAAGCATAAGCCTTGCCAAAATTAGAAGAAAGTACTGATTTATAGAGGATGATGTTTTTAAGCTAGGTCAGTTAGCGTTATAGTAATAAAAGAAAGGTTACAGGAATGTTATATCTGGAGGAGCACAATGTGAGTATATAAATGCATCCGACTATTCCTAGAGAAGTCAAAAAATATTCAGGATGACTAAACCTCAAACCTTTAAACCCTCAAGGAAGGTCAGAATGGGTTTATGCAGTGGTTATTTATAATTTAGAGCTGGTGAGAAAGGTTATGCCCAGGAATTTATCTTCATGTTCATATCTGTGTATGCATATCCAATGAAAGATTAGTTCATTCACTCATTACTAATTTAATAAAGATTTCTAGTTTTTTCACTTAATTTTTAAAGTGTACATCATTCTCCTTAACACAACAATTAACCACAAGCATAGTTAATCCCGTATGGGACTGGTCCAGGCAACATGAGCCTCTGAGAGGCACCGTTTCCAAAAGCAGCTATGCCACCTAAAAGAAAATGAAAGCCTTTTCCGTGCTACATTGCAAAAGCAAACAGATTGACAAATTATTAAATTATTTCAAGACTCTTAGGCTTTGATAAGGTGGGAAGTTTTCTGTGCTTTTTGATCATCAAGCATTTCCTATTTAGCCCCTAATTTCCTGGTTTTCATTTATTCACTCATGCGCTCATTCATTCAATAGGAATTTATTATGTGCCAGGTACTGGCCTTAGGTGCTGGAGAATGCAGAGCTAGATGACACATTCCCTGCTTTCAAGGAGCTCAGAGTCCACTGGGAGAGAAAGACAAGTAAACAGTGATAAGAAGGGTAAGTGCTAAGATAGTTGTTCGACAGGCCGTGCAAGTACAGAGGAAGAGCATCTAAATCCGATTGAGAATTGGGGACAGGATGTGGCAAGAAAAACTTACCAAGGGAGGTAATTTTTAAGATCAGTGTTGCAAGTTCTGAATAAAGGCTACCCAGAAGAGAGAGAAAGAGACTTCTAGGCCAGAGGAAAGCATTTACCCAGGAGCAGAACGTGCCAGGCTTTGGAAAGAACACACAGCTCAGAATGACAGGAGCATCGAATGTGTTTGGGGAGGAGGGAGATGAAACCAGGGAAGGAGATGCTGCCTCTGCCCAAGCAGAGCTTGCACCGCTAAGAGCTGGACTGTGGTGGATCTTCCCTCCGGGGTAGGCGGATCTCTATTCAAGGAGTTTAACGGGGACAGCAACACAGCCAATCTGGTGACAATGTAAGGATAGATTTAAGGTAGGAAAGGAGAGTTAGGAGGCAGTTTAGGTCAGTCAGCTCATTAGGAAATGAAATGTAACTTGCTGTGTGAATGTAAGAGGTAAGGGAGAAAGGGGATCAAGGATGAGTTTGTTTTCCCAACTTAGGTGACTAGCGGATATGGAGATACAGGGAAGAATTGTGCATTGATCAGCAAAAGATCAGTTCAGATTTGTAAATTATGACTTTGAGAGTACCGTAGCACAGTCTAGCATGTGATTAAAAAAAAAAAATGTCTGATTGGAACTTAGGAGAGGACAGTTCCAAATATGTGGACACGAGAGCTATTGAGAGAGCCGAAGCTATGAGCGTGAATCAAATCATATTGAAAGGGAGCGTAGAAGACCTGGTTACAAGTGGAAAAAAAAGGTGTAAATATGTGAGTTTACAGACTGGAGTTTCCTGTGTCTTCATAATAAAAGACAACTGTGTTAATACTCAAGGATCCACTTTCTCCTACTGGATGCTCTGTCCCTCATTTTTTGAAATCTTCCAACCTGTATCTTCCCTTGTATTTTCAATCACTTTCTGTATTTGATCTTCTGTCTTTGCTCCGTTTTGCTCCTTAACTGCCCAAATGTGGTCATTCCGTTGCCTCCCCTTACTTCTTGCACTTTGCACAATGTTCATGTTCTCTCTTAAAGCTTGTGAGTAGGTAACATCTTAGTCTCCATATTGTCTCATCTTAGAGTCTTTTTCCTTCCCCTTCCTCTTTACTCACCTCCGTTTTCCAAGTCGTTGACACTCATAAGATGAAACTAGAAACCTGGGTTCCCGTCCCGATTGTGTTGCTTACTCCTAACTGCATGACTGGGAGAGTCAGAGCACCTCTCTGGATGTTCTTGTCCTCACCTGTAACATAAAAGAGTCCTTAGTAATTAAAATCACTTCCTATTCAAAAGAAAATATGTGATTCTACCATTTCTTTCCACCTTCTTATAGGCCCCTGTCAAGGTGTATTCCAAAAGAAACAACACTTGACAAAAATTACCATGTTCCCTCTGCTAAAACAGTTATGCATATTGCATTTCAGTCACACTAGTATCTTATGTGTTAATGTTGGTGGTAGAAGTAGCAATTTATAGTAAATAAATAGAATTTTCTCTTTCCAAATGGGCACCTACTTTTTAAAAATCTTTCCCACTTACTAGAAGCTTCCCACAGCCCTCCTTGTCCTCGCTCACTGCCAGGGTGTGGGTCTATGTACGGCTGAACAAGCACCAGGATACAAAGAGAACAAAAGAGAAGGAGGAGTTTTTCCTCTGAGCACTTCCAGACACATGGAATAAATCCAGGAGGATGAGGGCATGCACAGTTCTACTTTACAGATTCTTTGGAGCAAAAATTTTCCTTGCCATAAGCTGTCTAGGAGGTCTCCATTTCAAGACCGGATTGCTAAACAAATAAGCGTATCCTACCCATGTCAGCCTTCCTCACTCAATAAACAATTTAAAAAAAAAAAAAAAAAAAAAAAAGACTGGCTTAAACATGATTCTTCTCTTAATGATGGCTAACCCAGAATCCTTCGAATCCCTATGGGAACTAATTCTGGAATGCCCTGACTTGGATGCCTTTGTCTCAAGGCCTGCGAATTTCAGCGCTCAGCGTTACCACTTTGTCAGTTCTCCATGATGTGGTAATGACTATGAAAGGAAAGAGGCATTGGGTCACTATTTTTGAATTTGATCCTTGAAGAAAATGTCATTTCTGTGACCATCTATCACTATGCTCAGTGTTCAAAAGGGCTGAACCAGAGAGGAGTAGGGGAGGTTCTGCCCTTGTCTACATGCCTCTGAACTCATGTTAGCTGGAGTGTTTGAAAAAAAAAAAAAAAGAATAGCAGCTTGACTGCAGACTGCTACCCTTTCTGGTTTTATGGAGCAAAGCGCGGGTCAGAGTTCACCCCATCAGCCAGACCTCCTAATTAAATGCAGCAGCAACAAAGAAATCCACATTGGGGTTACCCACCCCCACCCCATACAATTCTCACCCCTTTCTCATCAGGACCCCCTTAGCCCCGAGACCAGACTCACGTAAAGTAATACTGTCTTTTTCTTCTTTCGCATTTTCCCTGCCATTTTTGATGACAAGTAGGTAGCAGGCAGCGGAGAATCAGGTGGTGCCATGATGTGGCGTAGGCGACTGCTCTACTTCCCTTGGTGATAGAAGCATTTTCTATCCAGAACCTGATTTTTGAGGATTTCTTACTACCTTGCTACAAATTACGATTTGTCTATGAGATAATGGTTAAAATACATAAACCACAGGTTCCTTCTCAGAAGACTTAAATGTAAAATCTTTTGATGTTGCTGTCGCAAATCACATTATTGCCATTAAGATTCCGCATCAGCCCGCCATTCCACGTTCGCTGTTTGTGCACATGTCCCTCCTCAGGAAGGAGGATCCAGGAGTGATTTATGCCTACATGCTTAGTCATGACAGGGTTAGTCATTGTGTTCCACTTTACCTCAACAACAGATAAGAGGCTGTTACAAATTAGCGTTGTGGGAAAAGCACTGTGGTCACTGGTGACAAGATGCAGGGATTGTTTGTTTTTGTTGTTGTTGGCTGTTAAACTATGGAAGGAAATTTGAACCTAAGCAACTATTAGATTCTCCCTCTGTGTAAAGTGTGTGTGTGTGTGTTTGTGGGGGTGTGTGTGTGTATTATACACACGTACACTACGTATACTATATACACACATCACACACATATACATTATAGTGAGAGTGGGAGAAAGATGGGTTAATTAAGTCCTTCATGTGAGTTCTTACTGGGATCCAAGTCTGAAAGCAAAGCCATGGAACCCACTAAGCAGCTCTGAAAGCAGGCGAGTTCTGGGATGGCCCTGAGGAAGATCCCGGGGAAGGGCCACTCATAAGGAAACTTGAACATTTATCCCATCTGGAGGCTTTCTGAATGAGCCCAAACCAACATCTGCTGCTGTCTTGCCTGCCCAGAACAGGCTTGGTTTTGACCAGAGAAAGCAGTCACATTTCACTGCCTCTCATTCCGGCCTCCCTAGGTGAAAATGACAGAGGGGTGGGGAGGGCATTGCCGCCAGTATATATGTAATGACATAGGCTGGTCTCGTCTTTGAGTCAGGCCACCTCAGGGTCAGGCTGAATTCTGGACCAACACTCCACAGAAGGGACAAAGAGCACGTGACTCCGCAGACGAGCCCGCCCCCAGAGTTAGAATGACTTCTCTGCCCCGGCGTAGGCGCTGCTCTAAAGCTGTGCTCTCATTGACACATATTTTTCTCAAAAGCAGAAGATAATTTTAAAAACATAACCTTTGGTTAAAGAAGCCATTTTATGGGGAAGACGATAAATACTCCCGTTGTCAAGTTGTAAAGAAAGTTTTCGAGAACTGCAAATGGTTTCCACGTGAATAAATTTGCATTATCAATAGGCTGTTGATATTGGGTTGGTAACAGTCCAAATCAGTTGATTTTACTCTCTGTTGAGCATCTACTGAAGATGTTTAAGTAGAAAGGTATTATAATCATGGTGTTTCAAAAGATTGATTTGGTATCAGTGCATATGGGAAGAGGCAGATAGACCCATTTTAAAAGTCTAGGGCAGCTCTGGGAATAGAAAGATAAATATCTGAGAGACATTACCAAGCAAAAGGAAAAAGTTAGGAGCTTCACATCTGCAAGGGGCAGAGAGAAAGAAAATGTCATGTCAGGTTGAATGTAGCATTCTCAGCTGAGAATGACTGAGGCTGCTATTCTCTGAGGCGTTTGTCGATAATCCCATTACTTAGGAAACTTAAAAAAGAGATTTAAAAATATACCACAAAAACTAAAACAGCAAGTCTAGGCAAACATGCAATCCAAATTAAAGACGAACAAATAGATAAACCTCAGATAAGGGCATCCCATCAGTGAAAGCGCGGTAGGTCACGGAGAGCCTGAGGACGTCTGTCCTTTCCAGCAAGAGTCCTTTGTAAAGAGGGGCCAGGCAGGAGCAGGAAGGCATGTGCTGTGTGTTATGAATTCGAAACCGTGAGGCTAAGGCCAGAGGAATGCAATAGTGGGCATGAAGTTGATGTACTATTCAAATTCCCTGGAGCCTATTGCATTGTACATTCAAAAAGCTAATAAAAGAAAACTGCCTCTCAAATCTACAAGCTGGGCAGGGTTAGTTCACCACTAAGGCCAAGCAACATTCAATTGAGCCACACAGTTGCAAATAAGCAGAGAATCTGCCCAGAGGCATATCTAGTAGTTGGAAAGGGCTTTTGAAGACCTGGAGTCAGAGCGATTCAGAGGCTAGGTGGCCATTCGTTGGTGCACTGGTTTTCCTTCGTCGAGGTAAAGAAGAGTTAGCCTGATGCTTATGGGAGTACCTGCCAGTCGTCTTGGAAGACTGACTTTCTTTCACTCCCTTAGTCAGAGTCCCCGGGTCGCTTTTTTAATGTCTTTCCTTCGTCTTGTTTTCATTTCTGTTGACATAGGTGCTAATCTGTGAAAAAGTTTTTACTCGTCCACACTGAAAGGAAAAAAAAATGATGTGGAGAATGTTTTAGAAAGCTTTATTCATTGCTTTTAAAGAACAGTCCTAGGCCGGGCGCGGTGGCTCGTGCCTATAATCCCAGCACTTTGGGAGGCCAAGGCGGGTGGATCATGAGGTAGGGAGTTTGAGACCAGCCTGACCAAGATGGTGAAACCCGTCTCTACTAAAAATAAAAAAAAAAAAAAAAACTTAGCGCAGTGGCAGGCGCCTGTAATCCCAGTTACTCTGGAAGCTGAGGCAGGAGAATCACTTAAACCTTGGAGGCGGAGGTCGCAGTGAGCCAAGATTGCGCCACTGCACTCTAGCCTGGGCAACAGCACAACACTCTGTCTCAAAAAAAATAAATAAATATATATGTAAATAAAGAACAGTCCTTTTGGCCGGGTGTGGTGGCTCACTCCTGTAATCGCAACACTTTGGGAGGCCAAGGCGGGTGGATCACCTGAGGTCAGGAGTTTGAGACTAGCCTGACCAATATGGTAAAATCCCGTATCTACTAAAAATACAAAATGACCTGGGCGTGGTGGCGGGGGCCTGTAATCCCAGCTACTTGGGAGGCTGAGGGAGGAGGATGCTTGGACCCGAGAAGCAGAGGTTGCAGTGAGCCGAGTGTCACTGCATTCCACCCTGGGCGACAGAGTGAGACTTGTCTCACAAAAAAAGTAATAATAATAATAATAATAAACAGTTCTTTTGAAAGAACTCACCCTGAAGGTAGGTCCCGCCTCTCTTTGATATGTTTAAATGGCCTTGTTTATGAAACGATGGGAGTAACAGGTAGTAGTTTTTAATTTAAAAACCCCGTGTTGATCCCTGATTTTTTTTCGTGGTTTGTAAAATTGGCAAGTCAGGGAGCCACTCTCACCCCACCTTAGGTTCCTCATGAAAACCTCGCTTTCTTTAAACCTTCTTCAGCACCTCGTGTTCTCCAGTGAGGAGGTCCACCCAAGGCTGCCTTCCAGTATGACTCCGTGCTGGCTACTGTGCCTCAGCCGGGCCCCTGCACCCCCTGACACCTTCCTCCGCAGCCCTCCTAGCCCCACCCGGGCCCCCCGCCGACTGCCCGATCCCACGTCTGTTCTGGGGCCTGGCCTGGTCCCCACCTGGGTGCAGCTCTTCCCCAGCTAAGCCAGCATGAACACATCTCCCCTTCTGCTCACTCTGGTGAACGGTAGCCTCACAGGACCCTCATTTTTCATAGTTAAATTGTCACGTATGTGACCTCTGCTCACCCAGACTTCTCTTTGTTTTCACAATATCCTCATACTTTAGCTCGCACAGAAGGGCTGTTCTGAAACTGTTGGGTGCCGGGTTACACAGGCGCTCTGAGGACCCTGACGCCGGAGCAGCCTTCCTTGTGCAAACACTTCAGCCCTGTTAGTGCCTGTGCTTAGGTTCAGCTACTCCTTGGAAGGCACAAATTCAGAACTTCCAGGGCTAACCTGTGAAGCTGGGCCACTGAGATCCCAGCTTAACCCTCTGTCATTCTCACTGTACTACCTGCAAAGGTTACTTGTGTATTTATTTCCCGAAGAACCAAAGGCTAATAGGTGAGAGTCTGAACGCTCGGCTTCCTGGGCTGTATCTCCCCGTGCGCAGGGTCCTGTGATACAGAATGCCTGCCCAGCAGGGAACGGAACGTGTGGCAAAGCCAATGAAATAGCAAAGTCAGAGGTTGCAGAAATGCTTTCTACAGGAGAAAGGTGAAGTCTCTGCTTCAGATTGAATGAGGCTAGAAAATATAAACCAGCAAAAGGGTCAAAAAAGGGCAGAGGAGAATGAATCAGCAAGCTGCTTGCAGGCGGTGCCATCTATATACAGCCAGAGTTCCCAGCTTTACATCAGGCACTGTGATCTACAGGAGGGCTAATGGGCCTGGGGTCAGCTGCACAAAAGTTCCAGTTATGGTCCAGTCAAGAGACAGAGTGAGAGCCAGATCAAGTCAGCTACCCGCCTCATATTTTCATTTTCCGTCTCCGAAAGGGGGGAAAATAGTACAATACAGAATTCTCCTGTGTGGAGGCATTCAAAAGGGCGTTTTTTTTTTAACCCAATAGCACGTTCTTCACATCGTACTAGGAGATGTGTAATGTGCTGCAAGACTTATACCAAATGTAACGACAGAACTTTAGGCTGGTTTTGTCAATAATTCTGTAACTCTGCGCTGCTTGCTCTATAAATAAACCAGTGCATGTTTGTTTCTTCAAGAGCAGTAATTTCTTCAAAAAAGTGATGACAGCAATAAACTCTGTTGGATTTCTTTCATTTATGCCTTCCTTTGCTAGGGGCATTTGGGTTGGCGGGGAGGACATCTTCAGCTCTGCCTTTCGTGAGTCTAAACAATGATTGCACTTAATGGTGCATTTGCTTCCTCTGCGTCTCCATCCCTGGCTTCTCCCTCCTGAGTGCCCGTTCCTGCCGCTGGCTGAGCAGCGTGGCAGGTTGTCAGATCACGTCAGTCAAACCCATGATCTGACCGATACTGTCCCCACGGAATTAATAGGATCAGTTCATCACCTGGCACTGAACAGACCTCTGTCCCTCGCCTTCCTCCTCTCTTTCTTCCCTCTTTCTACTATAACATTGTCCTGGCGGAGTCTTCTCTGTCTTTTTCACCTAGAATCTTCTCCTAATGACTAATCACATTTTTCAAAATGAATGTTTCACTAAAAACTCCTTATTTCATAAACAAGTGAAACTGGAAAAAAAAAAAGGAAAAAAAAACACTTCTCTATCCCTTTATTCCAAAATATCACCTAAGTACCTTTTTTACACCTCACTCCTGTGTTGCCCCATGTTTTCACCTATGATTATGATCCCCTGTCACTTTGTTCCTCCCCTGGTAACCTGTCTTTCTCTAACAGTGTTGTTTCTCTGTTAGTTCTGTGTCTGGGCTTATTTTAAGTAGGATGTTGATTCAGGTCTCCATCTCACTGGGAACCTTCAGTTAGTGAAGGAGTCTTAGAATCAATCTGAAAATCCGGCGGGCGCGGTGGCTCAGCCTGTAATTCCCAGCACTTGGAGGCCGAGGCGGTTGCATCGAGGTCAGGAGATCGAGACATCCTGGCTAACATGGTGAAACCCCGTCTATACTAAAAATACAAAAAACTGCCCGGCGTGGTGGGCGGGGCGACCTGCTTAGTACCGCTATCGGAGGTTGAGGCGCGGAGAAGATGGCGTGAACGGGAGGCGGCAGCTTGCAAAAGTGAGCCGAGATCGCGCACTGCACGTCCGAGCCTGCGGCCGACAGAGGCGAGACCGGTCCGTCTCAAAAAAAAAAAAAAAAAAAAAAGAAAGAATCAATCTGAAATCCTTTAGTGTATTGTGGTCCCAAGGAAACCCCTAATTTCTCATCCAGAATTTTACATTTTTTTTTCTTTCTTCAGACGACACTGTCATTTTTGAAATTTTCTCTGGTGCTGCCACAAATATAAAAGTCACAGAAATTCAATTCTTCAGTCAAATGTTGCTTCTGTGATACATATTTATGAGCACAGAACAGCTTTTAAAAATGTATTTTAACACTCAAATTATAAGTTCCTCTTGTATTTGTCTGCTAAAAAGAGTAAGCGTGTAATAAAAAAACAAATAATCATTAAATGTCAGGAAAGATTGCATCTCATTTCAGTGAACACAGTAAATCGTCATGCAAGATATCCCCCATTCTTGCAATATCACTGTAGACAAAATGGGTTATCATCACCACTGCCAGCATTCAAGCTCTAATTTACCATTATGAAGTATGTCAATCACTGAGAAATAGTCTTTAAAAGTTTCTTACTTTATTAATTTGTTGAGGATGTTTGAAGATACTAAAAGGATTTTTTACATATGCAAATACATACATGCACGTAAACATACTGTACTGTACTGCCACTGAGGGAGTAAGTCAGTAAATCTTTAAGAACCGATGTAACAGTGAATTAAATCTACTCTGTAGAAAATATGAAGGAATACTAAGGAATTTAATATCAGCAAACATGTTCCCTTTGAAACAGCAAATTAGATGTGCAGGAGGATTTTGGTCACACTTCAAAGAATCATGCGTTGAGATGGAGAGCTGGTCTGTTCACTCGTGTTCTCACCGGTGAGGTTTTTCTATGTTAAACAGGTTTTTGATTACTTCAAAGCATGTTTGAAGTCCTCACTCTGCATAGCTCCCTCACAAAGACAAATACTCCTCCAAATTTGTGCAACTAATATTGCTACACATTGTATTTATAAGTCAGAAGAAACTGCAGTTTCCTATTTAACACCAAGTTAATGCCCCTTGTATTTAGCTATGACAGTGAAGGTCGTCTGACAAACGTCACGTTTCCCACTGGAGTGGTCACAAACCTGCATGGAGACATGGACAAGGCCATCACAGTGGACATCGAGTCATCTAGTCGAGAAGAAGATGTCAGCATCACTTCAAATCTGTCCTCGATCGATTCTTTCTACACCATGGTTCAAGGTAAACATGAAAGCATCATTTTAAACGAATCATTTTAAAGTACCACCAGCACCCAGATAGGATGTGCCAACACCCAGTTTCCAAGATGAACCAGAAAAGGGAAGATGAGAATATAAACCTCTAGAAATACTGGTGACATAATCTACAGTGTATATGTAATATTTATTTACTTATATAGACATATTTTAAAACCACATATAAAATAATCTCTCAATCTTGGAATACTGTCTATTTCCATTCCCATGTATTAAAACAACTTCATTCCAGCCCTTCACATGCATCCCCAGACGATTTCTGCATCACCTAAGAGTTTTCCAGAGCAGGTCTTCTGACCACCATCTCAGTACAGTAGTTTGAGACATAGCACTTTTTGAATCCATATATGATGCAGTATTTTAATCTGCATATCATGGAAATTTTAAACCAAATTACAACTACACATTCATGTAATGCCTGGAATGTCCATTTTTTCATTCCATCTATAGTCATCTGGATGCCGTATCTCCATAAAGGACCCTCCTTGCCATATTCCTTTCTAAATTTGAAGAACATTGTCTACAATGACATTTGTAATTGTGAGTTCACAACTCTAAGAATAATTAGTAAATCTGTATTCAACTTTTTGACTCATTTTTTTTACCTGTTCCATTAAGTAATCTCTGTAACCATCTAAAACTGCTATTTCTAGAAATCATTTCTTCCCCAAATGGTCCTATATTATTTAAAAATTTTAAACTGAGTCTACAATATGAGCTTTTTTGTATAAAATATAAAATGTCTTCCTTTATTGAAGTCAATTTCAGAGGGAACGTTGCTTTCTATTTTTGGTATTCAAGGTATAGATATTAATCCTTTCAAAGGATCTTTGACAGGAGATGCAGGGATTGGGTGCAAGGGAGGGAAGGCTTCCAAGACCTTGGAGGTGTATACACCACCCTCCTGAGAGACCACATATGTGCCTCTTTACAAAATATTTATTTAGTGCACATCGCATGGAGGCTGAGCTCTCATTTCATCAGGCAAATGAGAAAAAGAAGTCTATTAAACTGGAGAAGGACTTCAAATTCCCCTAAAGTTTGCCTTTAATATTTAGCCAAACCTCTGACAGCATGAAATGCCAGGGATCAAAGTTGTCAAAGTTGTTTTGTTTCTTTTTTTTTTTTTTTTTACACTATCATCTATTTTATTTGAAAACATGTCTACACTGCATTAAGCACCAACACAGGTGTGACCAAGAAACCCACAGTCCTGTCCCCACAGGCACTGGGTCCAGTGTATGACTTGGGATGAACTGTTATTTTTCACAGTGAGGGGGGAAGAAAGGATAGGAAAGAAAAGATGGCCATTATCCCAACTCCTGTTGAGGAATCTGAACAATGAAAGTGAAAGTTATTTCAACTCATCCGGCTCTTCTCATTCCCCTTCTCTCAATCAGAAATTTAGATCCCATCAAACGGGCAAAACCGGCCAAGTATTTAATCCGTATCTAATAGTTCATGTTTTGTGCTTCTCGTTCTTTAGATCAGTTAAGAAACAGCTACCAGATTGGTTACGATGGCTCCCTTAGAATTATCTACGCCAGCGGCCTGGACTCACACTACCAAACAGAGCCGCACGTTCTGGCCGGCACCGCTAATCCGACTGTCGCCAAAAGAAACATGACTCTGCCTGGTGAGAACGGCCAAAACTTGGTGGAGTGGAGATTCCGAAAAGAGCAAGCCCAAGGAAAAGTTAACGTCTTTGGTCGCAAGCTCAGGGTACGTCCATGTCGTAGAGCAGGAGATAGCGGCAGCCCTCTGATTTGTGCAGATGACCCTGAGGGCAGGCTGCATCTCCTGCTCACCCCGCTATGTCTACGCTGAGTATGAGCACCACGCTCAGTGTGGTTCCAGTCCCACGTGGTCCTGTTCTGGCAGGTGCAGCTGGGGAGGCTGGAGGGAGGTCAGGTCGTGAGAGGGCTGAGAAGCAAAAGCAGTAGGACACTAGAGAGAAAAGGAGACCGGGAGTGAAGGTAAAGCAATGGCCATGAAAACCAGCTCCAGACATCTTCCAGGTCACTTTCATAGGGCCGTGGTCCATTCCCAAAGTGGACTCCAGCTGCTGCTCTTTGTTCTGCTGAGCCCCAGACGCTGCCGCCACCTGCATCCCCGTTTGCTGCCTCTACTCACTGCTGCTTCCCAGGGACCTGGGCCTTGGGCCACTGCAAACGCAAGGCTAGTTCACAGGCCTCCCTTGCTCAGCTGTCCTGAAGCAGGGGTCACGTGCACGCATGCACACAGCGTCACACCTGTTCTCAGATGCAGGACTTCATCAAAAGACACGAAGGCATGGATGACCGCCGTGCCCCACACTCTGCACACCAAAGACACAGCACCTAACTAGAGTTCAAAAAAATACGGTTCCAGATGAGGCTCTACTTTTTGCTAATAGTAAACCTTATGGGAGAATCAGAACATCTCTGAATCTGTTTCCTTATCTGTATCATGATATCTATATTATGATATAGATTATACATTATCTAAATACCGTAACAAGATAAGACTATATATATAGAGAGAGAGAGAGAGCGCGTGCAATATTGCAGCTAAATGAAATTTACCCTATACTACCTCTGTTTTACACAGTTGTTCTAAGAATCAGATGAGATAATGTGAAAGTACTTTGAAAACAGGCTGGGCGCGATGGCTCATGCCTATAATCCCAGCACTTTGGGAGGCCAAAGTAGGCGGATCACTTGAGGTCAGGAGTTCGATACCAGCCTGGGCAACATGGTGAAACCCCGTCTCTACTAAAAATACAAAAATCAGCCAGGCGTGGTGGTGGGTGCCTGTAATCCCAGCTTCTCAGGAGGCTGAGGCAGGAGGATCGCTTGAACCTGTGAGGCAGAGGTTGCAGTGAGTCAAGATTGCACCACTGCACTCCAGCCTGGGAGACAGAGCAAGATTCTGTCTCAAAAAGAAAAAAAAAAAAAAAACAAGAAAAGAAAAGGCATGGTTATATATTCCCTGACCCACAGCCAGATAGCCTCTTCTACTCACACACCAGATGGATAGGAAAGGGCTGTTGAGCTTGCTGGATAGTAAAATTTCACTGGCAAGAGGGAGGAGTGGGAAATACTTTGTCCTGAAACTGACCACATAACATATTGCCTGCTGTTCTTGGAGACAAGTTGTAAGTAAGTGTGCACTTTTTTTCTTTGTAATACTGCTTTGCAAGACATAAAAAGAACTTAGGAAGATGAGAGGGAAAGAGAGGAAACCCAATCTGAAGTCCCTGGTTCTCTGCCTAATCCTAAATGAAGAAAACGCCTCACTTGAGGAAAGAAGAGCCCAGTGCACACAGGCATGGGTGTTACTTTCTTTCTAAATGGCAGAGCCACAATGCCTCAGCAAGACGTTTTAGAAAATACACTATTTAAAATGGCCTGTGCCATCCCACCGAAAGGAGATCTCCAGCTGATCTGTTTGATTGCTCTCAGAGAGACAATGCCAAGATCACAGGGGAGGGTTTCTTACTTTCAAGATAAGATTGGATGTGCCAGCTCTGACTGCTAATTTCATTCCTCTGTGGATTCTGAGAGAGAAATTCTAGGGAGAAAGTGATGATATGAAAATCTGGTTTAAGGACTGAGCCTGGAGTCTGCCAAAGTAGAAAAGAGGGGAGAGAAGAGAAAGACCTGAGCCCACCAAGACAGTGAGAATCAGCCCAAAGAGCCACCCGTTTCCCTTCCACTCTTGCCTGAGACACAGGATGCCTCCTCTCTTATGCTGCATTATTTCCTAGCAGAAAATTCTGTTCATTTTTAAGTTGTGGACCTAAATTTAGCTATGTGCCTGTCACATGGTGGGCACTCAAATATTTATCCAATAAATGAAAGAATGAGGAAAGCCAGCCTTACAATATGAATTCTCTCTTAAATTCATATTGCCATTGCATCTAGATCTTCCCAAGAGAGGGGCTATGTGAACAGCACATCCTTGCAAATGTTTGACTGCTATAAACTTTGGTCTCAAGCTCAGGATACGTCCATGTCGTAGAGCAGGAGATAGCGGCAGTAATAGAGATATCATTCTCTCTGTCTATACTGTGTGTGTGTGTGTGTGTGTTTCCTGTTTCTTTTGTTTGAGATGGAGTCTCCGTTTGTCACCCCTGGAATGCAGTGGCATGATCTTGGCTTACTGCAACCTCGTCTCCCGGGTTCAAGCGATTCTCATACCTCTGCCCACCAAGTAGCTAGGACTACAGACACACGCCACCATGCCCGGCTAATTTTTGTATTTTTAGTAGAGATGGGGTTTTACCATGTTTTGGCCAGGCTGGTCTTGAACTCGGGACTTCAAGTGATCTGCCCGCCTCAGCCTCCCAAAGTGCTGGGATTACAGTCATGAGCCACCACACCTAGCCATATATATATATAAGTTTAAAAAGTAAAAAAGGCAGGGAGTAGAAATGGAAAAATCATATAAGAAACCAGCAACGTGAAAAGCATTTCTGTGAAACAGTGCATTAAGGGACAGGCTGGACACAGCAGAAAATAACAAGCACAGGAAACTGTGATAGAGATGTAAGGAAGCAGAAGACACAACTATTCTGTACTTACTTGTTTGTAGCTCATTTTTTTAAAAAAAGACAGATAGCAGTTGCTTATCTGTGCCTTATAATATTTGGTAAATATTCCTAGGTTTTATCACTGCTGGATTGTAGAACCAGCCTTCAATCAATTACAAAAAAAAATTGTCATGGTGTTCTAATATTAAAATTCATCTCCTAAAGCTGCCCAGATTCAGAAGCTTAGAGAAAAAAAAATCGTAGTGAATCATTTTAAAAAAGAAAATCTCAAAATTTGAAAGCCAAACGTGTGTTTAAAGGCATGCATAAATATGATAGCATATTTAAATCTCATTATGCCAGTCACATTTGGTAGTGGCCTATTTCTCACTTTAATCTGAGCGGCACAGCCTAGCGTGGGACTGCACAATGCACTTGGCACCTGCTGACGGAGCAGACACACAAAACAACCTGTAGCAAGTTGATGCTCTAACGGGGACACAAGAGAGTCTTGATATCATCACCCAGTGTACTGGGAAACGAGCCTGCCCTTCCTCACTTCCCCCCATGACATCATGGATAAGTCAGTGTAATCCCCCCTGCTGGCGTCACTCCCTGGGAGAAGTGTGTTGCGTCATGTTCTTTTCAAGCATATTCCAGAGGGAAGATTATAGCTGCCCGCTCCCAATATCAAAGTGACGTTGTGATTAATTACAATCATGCTGGACATGATCTTTGAAAATGGAGATTTTTTTTCCATGCTTACTTAAAAGAAGTATACATCACAAAGGAATTCATGGTGATCTCTTATTCATACACAACAAATGAATTCATTTTTATATAGCTGGAGGTGTAGCAGTGATCTGAGATAGGGTTTCACTTTTAGATTGTTATTTAAGTGTTTGTTTGTGTGTGTGTGTGTGTGTATAAATAATTTTTTTTTCTTGAGACAGGGTCTTGCTGGGATGCCCCAGCACACTACTGGAGTGCAGTAGTGTGCTCTTGGCTCACTGCAGCCTCAACTTCGCAGGCTCAAGTGATCCTCCCACCCCAGGCTCCCAAGTAGCTGGGACTACAGGCACGCATCCCCACACTTGGCCAATGTTTGTATTTTTGTAGAGACAGGGTTTCACCATGTTGCCCAGGCTGGTCTCAAACTGCTGACCTTAAGTGATCTGCCCGCCTCCGCCTCCCAAAATCTTGGAATTACAGACATGAGCCACCCCTCCCGGTCTTAACCTGATATTTTTAATAATAATTAAAAATATTTATTAAAAGGCTACCAGAAGACCAGATACAGTGGTTTACACGTGTAGTCCCAACACTCTGGGAGGCTGAGGCAGGTGGATTGCCTAAGCCCAGGAGTTTGAGACCAGCCAGGGCAACATGGGGAGACCCCGTCTCTACTAAAAATACAAAAATTAGCCGGGTGTGGTGGCGCACGCCTGTAGTCTCAGCTACTCACGGGGCTGAGGTGGGAGGATCACTTGAGCCCAGACAGTCGAGGCTGCAGGGAGCCGAGATCACACTATGGCTCTCCAGCCTAGGTGTCCCAGCGAGACCCTGTCTCAGGAGAAAAAAAAAATCCACTGGAGCCTGAAATAATGCTGGCACTTTATGACTGTAACAAAAAAAAAAGAAGAAAAAAAGATTTGAAAAGTTGCCCTGGCGTCAAAAAGATGTGGTGAAGCCAAACCACGTCCCGGAACACAGGTGCCCCTGTTCACAACACCAAAAGGAGAAAGTTCAGGCATGGGAAGCAGGGTGAAAAACAGGAGATCTGTGAGTATCTTTTGAAATTTTCCACACTGAATAACAGAGAGCGGTGTCTGGAAACAGTAAGAATGGTTAAAGCCTTGGCTTGTGTTGGGAATTTGGGAAGAAACACAGCCACATTCGAAGTCATTCCTCATTACTTTGGTTTGAGGATACAGGAAAGGCACAGCATCCAGTGTTTGTCTGGATAAAAGAAAAATCAGAACTTATGTCCAGATGGTGGGTCTCACTGCTTCCAGATGCTTGTCGAAGTCAAACACAGTGATGGCATCATCTGACCTGCACCTGGGTGTTTCAGTGTCACCTAGCCACACTCACAAACCAAAGGTGCAAATCGGAAGCCAGGGCTGGGCACGGCGACTCATGCCTGTAATCCCAGCACTTTGGGAGGCTGAGGTGGGTGGATTATCTAAGGTCAGGAGTTCGAGACCAGCCTGGCCAACATGGTGAGACCCCGTCTCTACTAAAAATACAAAAATTAGCAAGGCCCGGTGGCACATGATTGTAATCCCAGCTACTCAGGAGGCTGAGGCAGGAGAATTGCTTGAACCTGGAGGAGGAGGTTGCAGTGAGCCAAGATCATGCTACTGCACTCCAACCTGGGTGACAGAGTGGGACTCCGTCAAAAAAAAAAAAAAAATCAGAAGTCCGAGCATAGAGGCCGTGAAAAGATGGGGCTCCATGCCTGTCTCCCCACAGCAGCACGTCATACCTACTCTGTGGTCCAGATTTCCCATACTCCAACCAGAGGAAACTGCAGACACGAAGGAGGGTCCAGGAAGCAGTAAAGAATTAATACAAATTAAAATGAATGCCAAGGAAAATGCAAACACATGGGCAATAACAACATGGCAGCCCTGTCCCTGGAAGCTACAGTCAGTCTTTTGTAGTTCCTCCAAAACCCGGAATAATGTAAGGAAGAGAAAAGAGGGCAACTCTAAACATTCAGGGTATTTTTTCCTTTCAAAACACAATCACAGGCACTCAAGAGCCCTAAGAAAACGATTTAAATTGTGCAAAACCTCTTCTTGAGGCATCCAAAACTGGAGTGCAGATATAAGCTGAACAACTTGATTCTGCCATTTATCAATTTGATATCAAACCTTTCTACAGACTTTAAAATATATATTTGTAACATTAGCTGGTAGCTTCTTACCAGGGTACACAAAGCATTCTGCAAAGCTCAACTCATAAAGTTTCACAAAATTCACATCAGGCGGGGAGCAACTAATATGCAGACATTTCCGCATGGAGCTCAGAAAGCCTCCAGCTGGCTGGTCAGAGGCAAATAAAACTCACTGAAAGACAGAGCCTAAGGGATCTAGGCCAACCTCTTTATTTACAGATGGACAAAACAGATTCAGGGGGCTTGAAAGCCGAGGTCAGGCTGCTTCAGGTCTAGAGATCAGGCTTTGGAGTCCTGGGTTCCTCCCCAGCCACCGCCCCTGACAATCTGCTGTGACACAGTGTTGCAGGGTGTCTGCCCACATCAGCTGATAGAACTGAAAAGTTACGATGTAATTTCTAGGCCAGGCACGGTGGCTCACGCCTGTAATCCCAGCACTTTGGGAGGCTAAGGCAGGCGGATCTCCTGAGGTCAGGAGTTCGAGATGAGCCTGGCCAACATGGTGAAACCCCGTCTCTACTAAAAGTACAAAAATTAGATGGGTGTGGAGGCGGGCACCTGTAATCCCAGCTACTCAGGAGGCTGAAGCAGGAGAATGGCGTGAACCCGAGAGGCGGAGGCTGCAGTGAGCCGAGATCGTACCACTGCACTCCAGCCTGGACAACAGAGCGAGAGTCCGTCTCAAAAAAAAGAAAAAAAAAAGGCAATTTCTCTCCAGGGCTCTTTCTGCCTTCTTGTTTTTTGTAAATCAGCTATCTGGGTGCTTCCTGCCCTCAACATCATTTCTTTTTAGCTTATCGAGCTACCATTCCCCGGACTTCACAATACTCTCCTTGAACAGCCAATTGGAAAAGTTTAAGCTTAAGGAGTATTTTTGCATGGGACGTGTTTAATGTCAATGATAGAATGCAAAAGGTAGTTTTATTCCAAATTTTACAAATATATATGATGTAGGTATATAGACATATTTCTATATAAACATGTGAGTGGTTGTGTGTGTGTGTACAATGGGTCAGCTGGATCTGTCCATTTTGAAGGTTCTAGCTGGAATACAGCTATATAAAATTAAGATTTTCCCATTTAATTTGTAACAGTCCAAATAGTTAATGAGCATTTTGGAATGTACAAGCCACCCCTCCCACAAAGGTGCTGTAGAAGACCAGAGAATGCATAGGCCATGGTCTCTGCCCCTCAGAGGTTCACAGCCTGCAAACGCTGGAGACTGTAAAGCAGAACGTAATCGGGACCACACTTCTAATTGCAATAGCGAATGCTGGGTTGTGTATGCCTCGGATGGCAGACAGTAACAGCCAGATTTAGTCCAAGGTTCTGGACGTGGCACCGAGCCACAGAGACTCTGTGACAACACATGGTGCTGAATTTGTCAAATAAGTACAATATTCAGATCATGTGTATGTGTTAGTGAAGGACTCTGAAGTCCCTGCCAGTTAACCAGCTCTTCTCCAAAGAAAGAGGCCTTCTCAAAAAATTGTGACGTCGCAGCACTGGGCCAAAAGCAATGATCTTGTTTATAACCTGCTGCTATTGAAACTCATTAATAATTTACAGTAATGTGGGTTCCAACTTCTGCTTAACTGCTCTTCAAAGGGCTAGAGTCACATTAACCACTGTGTTTTATTTAATGTAGCCATGATTAATTTACTAAGCAATTATTTTCCAGTGTCTTTGGGGGAGGAGCTTTGAGTCATATGAATAGGTGTCATGTTTACCACCTTTAGATTTCCTGAACAAACTTTAAAGCAAATACATTTTGGTATTTTTCTTATCAGTTGCTTTAGTTTACAAAATTTAACTGAAATGGTTTTGAACAAATGCCAGGCTGTCTTTCTGCTTAATAAAACATTTTAAAAGAGCAGTTAATCTACTGCCTTGCACTTGTACCCAAGAAGTTGCTAAATTAATTTACTGACAAAGAGAATCAATCATCATAAATGGTGTTTAAACAATACTGGGGACTCCGGTGTTGGAATAACATGATTTATTTTATCATCTTGTTGGTGTTGTAACAGGTTAATGGCAGAAACCTCCTTTCGGTTGACTTTGATCGAACAACAAAGACAGAAAAGATCTATGACGACCACCGTAAATTTCTACTGAGGATCGCCTACGACACGTCTGGGCACCCAACTCTCTGGCTGCCAAGCAGCAAGCTGATGGCCGTCAATGTCACCTATTCATCCACAGGTCAAATCGCCAGCATCCAGCGAGGCACCACTAGCGAGAAAGTAGATTATGACGGACAGGGGAGGATTGTATCTCGGGTCTTTGCTGATGGTAAAACATGGAGTTACACATATTTAGAAAAGGTATGCCTGCAAACTAAGCTCAACAATAGGGAAAGGATAATTCACATTTTTCAGCCATCATCTAGAGCACTAAGGGGGAAAGAAACAGTGGCACATGACTGAGTTCCTTTTATTATTCGAAGTGTCAATACAGAAGTCACATGAGCACAGCAATGATGAATTTCTGCATTAGCAAAGTAGTTTCTCCTTAGTTAAGTTCTACTGTCTGAGACCCTTTTAAGTGATTTATGATGTAAACAAACAAGCATTAACATTGTCCACCTGCCAAGCTTACACACTGACAACATTCACAAATTAGACCTTGAGCATGTAAGTCGTTTGTAAATGATTTTCGTGCTAGCTCTTTCATTTAAGAGAGAGCCTTACATTAGCACAGTTAAAGCTGTCAGCTTTGTGTTGTTCCTGGCAGAACTTCAACATAATCATAAAAAGCATGTAGATCCTAGTTATGCATTATTAACCAAAAGGCGATTTTCTTAGAAAGCCACACTTTTGTATACTGTGTGGCATCTTTCCTTTCTTCTACATATAAAAGGTAAGCATCCTAGATTAGGCTGTTTCCCACTCTCGAGAACTTTTCACAGTATCAAAAATGGAGACTTAGAGTTACACATGTGCAAAATGCTAAATGTATGCTGTGTGGCTTGGGGTATTGACTGGGTCAGAGGAAATGAAAGTAAAAGAAAGGGAAGAAAAAGGCAAGAACAATCTCGCTGTAATTCCTCTCTTAAGAAATATAATCCACCAAAGAGCATATTCATGGAATGTTTCATTTGCCTTTGAGACAAACATTCACCCTAGAAAATGATTCTGTGTTGAGGTCTGGTAGCTCTCAGACCCCAGAGCATGGCACCACCAGTTAGCCAGCAGCATGTGCTACACGCTCTACTCGGCAGTTACTGCTCCACCCCTCCTGACTCAGACGTTGCACAGAAGAACTCTTGTCACCCACATAAATCACATCACATCCATATTGTCACTGTGCTCCCCTCACACAATCTTTTTCTTCACTGGAGGTGCCATGGGGAATGACTCAGTCTAAATCTAACCCCCTGAACCCTGAGCCATCCCACCTGATTCCAGCCGGTGACTGCACAGGCTACTCTTCCTGAGAACCAGTTTCAGTTCCAGAGCTCACTCTAGGATGCTACCTCTCTTACGGCAGCCCCCCACCTCTGGGATGCTTCCAGCTAGGACCCTCATGGCCAGTCTGTCTCTTGCAGACCCACCTGTCTGCTCTCCTTAGAAGAGACTCACCCTTGAGACAATGAATCGCACCTGTTAGATGACAAGCCCCTAAGGCAACGTTTCTAAGTGGGAGAGGATCACAGCTTCATTCTGGAGTCTTCCCCAATTTAAATTAAGTGCATTACAGAGTAACAGAAATATACAAGCGCAACCCTAAAAATGTATAGTAGTGATCATAATGGGACGGGGAAATGTTTAGAGGGAGCCCAGGAGCGTATCATTGAGAAGAGCCACTGTCACAGAATGACAGAGGCAGTGACCAAGATACCTGCATGCATCCAGGAGCATCAGAAAAGACAACAGACAGATCTTTCTCATCGTCTCTTCCAAATCCCTAACATCCACCCAGACTTTTGATGTTCTTACTGGGATAGGTGCACTAAGCCAAAACTTACTCATAGCAAAACAAGTAATATTTTACAGACTACCATCAAATATGACTTCACAGATGATTCCAAAAGTAGGTATTAATTCCTGTGAATCCAGCAATAGTCCAAGCTTTCCTTGGAAGAATGCAAACTATTAGGAACAATTCTCAGGACATTTACTACACACCCTGCACGCAAAAATTGCCCCTAGGTCTGCCCAAAGAGGAGATTCTACCGAAGCTGAAGTCAGGCAAAGGAGAAGACCTCGCAGGGCTCCCAAGCCACACATCTTCCCTGTGCCAATGTCATTCCATGTGGCCCAACAGGGGTTAGAGGAAGCTTCCTCAGAGGGAAGAGCCACCCACAGCCCTGTGCTACTGCTGAGCTTGACTTAACCAGCCTGGGATGACCTTCTCTCATGTTGGCCTAATAAATGACTATCATTTTGTCTTTCTGCGGTGGCTCATGAAATAGGCAGAGTTCATTTTAATATATTTACTCATTTCATAATTTAGCTCCAACACAGTATGAAGTCCAGAAACCATTCTTATTGTTCCTGAGACACAAATCGGATTTGATATCCACAGAAAGAAATGGAGATTTTGTTGTCAGTATAGATGCCTTGTAACAATTTAGCTGTATGTGTATATAGAATATTTCTACTAAGGGCATTTATAGCTCTCATTCACCATGTGATTAATTTCACGATTTTTTTTGGTGTTGATGCTTCATGTACGCTTTATCCATTTTTGGCTAATTTTATGTCTTTATAAAATAATATTGTGAATGCTTTGCCCTTCCGCCAAGTACACTAGAAATCAAACATGATTTGAGTGGTTCTTCAGTCAAATGAGGGGGGGAAGCCACCTTACTAAATAATTGCTAATTATGGATGGAACTGCATTCCCCATATGCTATTTTCTCCTCAAAATATTGTGTGTAAAGCAGCTTTGATCATGCCTGTATTATGACTAATCCAGATCCATTGACAATCTGCTGGTTGGCTCTGAATGTCTGGGAAAAGAATGGTACCATCCGTCGTGACAGGCAGCACGTTGTGAATCTTGAGCCGCTAATTGCAGAACCCCTCACAATTAAGCATCCAAGCAAATTAGGCAGAGAAACGTTAACAACACACAAGGTCAAGGATAACTCAGTTAAAATGAAGATCATTTTCTCTAGTGGAATGTTTCTGCGCATTTGTGGTCACTAAATCTGCTTTCGCATCTCCTGTTCACAAACACTGGGTAACAGAATGTTCTCTCTTTACAGTCCATGGTTCTTCTGCTTCATAGCCAGCGGCAGTACATCTTCGAATACGATATGTGGGACCGCCTGTCTGCCATCACCATGCCCAGTGTGGCTCGCCACACCATGCAGACCATCCGATCCATTGGCTACTACCGCAACATATACAACCCCCCGGAAAGCAACGCCTCCATCATCACGGACTACAACGAGGAGGGGCTGCTTCTGCAAACGGCTTTCTTGGGTACAAGTCGGAGGGTCTTATTCAAATACAGAAGGCAGACCAGACTCTCAGAAATTTTATATGATAGCACAAGAGTCAGTTTTACCTATGATGAAACAGCAGGAGTCCTAAAGACAGTAAACCTCCAGAGTGATGGTTTTATTTGCACCATTAGATACAGGCAAATTGGTCCCCTGATTGACAGGCAGATTTTCCGCTTCAGTGAAGATGGGATGGTAAATGCAAGATTTGACTATAGCTATGACAACAGCTTTCGAGTGACCAGCATGCAGGGTGTGATCAATGAAACTCCACTGCCTATTGATCTCTATCAGTTTGACGACATTTCTGGCAAAGTTGAGCAGTTTGGAAAATTTGGAGTTATATATTATGATATTAACCAGATCATTTCCACAGCTGTAATGACCTACACGAAGCACTTTGATGCTCATGGCCGTATCAAGGAAATTCAGTATGAGATATTCAGGTCGCTCATGTACTGGATTACAATTCAATATGATAACATGGGTCGGGTAACCAAGAGAGAAATTAAAATAGGGCCCTTTGCCAACACCACCAAATATGCTTATGAATATGATGTTGATGGACAGCTCCAAACAGTTTACCTCAATGAAAAGATAATGTGGCGGTACAACTATGATCTGAATGGAAACCTCCATTTATTGAACCCAAGTAACAGTGCACGTCTGACACCCCTTCGCTATGACCTGCGAGACAGGATCACTCGCCTGGGTGATGTTCAGTATCGGCTGGATGAAGATGGTTTCCTACGTCAAAGAGGCACAGAAATCTTTGAATACAGCTCCAAGGGGCTTCTAACTCGAGTTTACAGTAAAGGCAGTGGCTGGACAGTGATCTACCGTTACGATGGCCTGGGAAGGCGTGTTTCTAGCAAAACCAGTCTAGGACAGCACCTGCAGTTTTTTTATGCTGACCTAACTTATCCCACTAGGATTACTCATGTCTACAACCATTCAAGTTCAGAAATTACATCCCTGTATTACGATCTCCAAGGCCATCTTTTTGCCATGGAAATCAGCAGTGGGGATGAATTCTACATTGCGTCGGATAACACGGGGACACCACTGGCTGTGTTCAGTAGCAATGGGTTTATGCTGAAACAGATTCAGTACACTGCATACGGTGAAATCTATTTTGACTCCAATATTGACTTTCAACTGGTCATTGGATTTCATGGTGGCCTGTATGACCCACTCACCAAATTAATCCACTTTGGAGAAAGAGATTATGACATTTTGGCAGGACGGTGGACGACACCTGACATAGAAATCTGGAAAAGAATTGGGAAGGACCCAGCTCCTTTTAACTTGTACATGTTTAGGAATAACAACCCTGCAAGCAAAATCCATGACGTGAAAGATTACATCACAGGTAAGCATTTTGATTCTTTTCCAAGTGCTGGAGGACTACCATCATTAGATTAATACACAAAATAACTGGAAATGGTTTTTTAAAAAACTGCATACTTTGCTCAAGCAAAGTCACATGGCTGACCTTTTAATGCGTTTATTTCTCTATGGAACCACAGAGAAATCACAAAGGGAAAATGAGACATAGTTACTTCCTATTCTGCCTGCCAGTGCCCAAGGCCACAAGTTTTTGAAATGACATGAACTCCAGTCATTTAAAGAAGGGGAACATGGGGAAGCAAAAAACATGATGAACACAGAGTCCCAAAATTGGAGTTCCAATCTCAGCTGCTCTCCCACAAGCTGTGGAGCTCTGTAAGCCACATGTTTTTTGAGTTTCCATTTCCTTAACTATAAAATTGGGATAATAGTGCCTAACTTAGGGCACAAAGATAATACATGAAATTCCGCAATAAATAGTAACTACCTTACGAATATGTCATTTTGGGTTTTTTAACTACATGTGTGAAGTTCTCACAGAGATGATTAACGTGAAACATAACACAGGGTGACACCATTTCATCCTTGGGAGGTGTTTAATTCCTGCTTCACCACCATCTCCTCAGGACAGTCACGAAGCCATTTCTCCCATCAGTTGCTTAGACAGTGGATCCTGTGTCTGGTCTCACTTCTGTCTCTTACATCACTGTCTTCATTGCCAGTGCAGTTCTTGCATGGTGACAATACAAAAAAGGCATACTAATTTTTCCACGAATGTGAGATAACTTTCAGGGTACAGATTTAAGATCTTTCCAAGTTTAGTGCATGTTACTTTTTTAGTTATGCAAGATGTAGAACATCAGATCCCACTATTGCCACCATGGAACAACCAGCATGTGAAACAGACAAGGTCCTTGCAAGAAGCTGACTTCTTCACTCAACCTCTACTCCAAGAATTCTGAATCCTGCTGCTCCTACCTTCCATTCCTGATATACAGCACCATCATTAACCCCTCTACCACATTTATATTTCCAGGAGGAAGGTTCTTTCCTGTTGTCTATTTTTGGGCTCGGTTTAAGGTATTTCTGTTTTGTTTTGGCTTGTGTTAGATGCTCCTTTAGGCTGCCTCTTTTCTAGCTCAATATTTGAGGTGTACTGAGATGTCTGTTCTCTCAGTTCTCAAAACAGGCTCAACAGGTTGCCCCGTTCATTTCACATCTGCTTCCTACCTTTCCAGACTGCCTAAAGCATTTTGTATCTCTTCCATGTGAACCAGCTGAAAGTCCCTTCTTTCTGCCTCCTGATTCAGCAGCACCCTTATTCTCAATTCAGGGTTTTTCAGTACACATCTGCATTCAAATCCCATTATTTTGGCAGTACTTTTCAATACTCACGGCCCTCTGATTTTCACTGTTATGCAGACATTTTTCAGAGTAACAGAATTTTTGCCCCCAATACTCTAACATTTGGGAGAATTTTCTCCCAAAAATAAGGCCCTCCCACCCCCCAAACTCAGATACACTCTTATATACACACAAATTGTATCACTTTGCATCCTATGTGAACCACTTAGGATTTACTTCTCCGCACCACCACTACTACCACCCCATTTCAAATGGAAACAATACCAGTGGTTTTATAGCCATATGAGGCCTGGACGAAGGACCTGCCAGCCTGGCAATGAGGTGAGAGTCTGTGCCCTGGAGAAGGAAATGGGAATCAAGTGGCTCTCCATCATTTTGACAAGCAGTTTACCACTGGTTATTTAAGGGGTGTTGACAGGGGCTGACTGAAAGGCTGGAAAGCCCCCAGCTCCTGAATTCATCCTCTCCTAGCAACGTGGACTGCAGGGAATGCCATAGCAGCATTTTCTGAAAAACATCAAAAGAGAGATGGAACAGCATAAAATATATTAGGTGAAATGCAATTTCAAATTTTCCAGCAATGTGCTTAATATATAAAATAATCTACACCCAACCGTACTCATAAAGCTGCAAGCCTGCTGAGTAGTTCTGTAACATTATAACCTCCAGAATAGAATAAAAGCCTTATTCTCAGCTTAATGGCTTTTGGAGTCACATGGCAATATTTTAAAATACCATCTTAAAGGTTTCCAGGTTCTTTCCCCAAAAAGTTTGTCTCCACCTGTGCACAGTGAGCCTTTGAAGTCATAGCTGATGGTAATCAGGACTTCTGTGCCCTTGGCCAGTTTTGCCAGCTTTCAGCATTCATCTTTGATTAAGAATCAACTGTTGATTTTAATACTCTCAATTTAGGGGTTTTATTAATAGAAAATGGGTTGTGGAAGTCCACATATCCTTGGGCAATCGCTTTGGAGAGCTAACAACACACTTCTATTTGAGACCAGCCTTTACTAACTACAAAACAAATTTCATTTGTTTTCTGCAAGTTATATCTCTCTCCTGCTGCTATGCATTGTTCTTACCCTTGCTATCACTGTTACTAGCACAGGCTGCAACTTAGCAGGAATGACGGCTTACCCAGTCTGTCTGAGCATCTATTACTCTGCAATTTTCGTAGCATTTGCCATAGTTCTGCTGTGCAGTTTCCCATCTTCATATCTAAAAACAGAGTAGGTTTAGATATGTAGGACGAAAGCAAACATGTGCTCTTTTTCAGATTATTAATTGTGAAATTGGATTTTCTTTTTACGGTAAGAATTTAAATATATGAAAGGACAAAACTCCAACACCTTTCATTTTGAACATTCTTCTCCTAGATGTTAACAGCTGGCTGGTGACATTTGGTTTCCATCTGCACAATGCTATTCCTGGATTCCCTGTTCCCAAATTTGATTTAACAGAACCTTCTTATGAACTTGTGAAGAGTCAGCAGTGGGATGATATACCGGTAAGAAACAAAAAGGCCCACGGAAAGGTGTTAAGTAGCTTGTGTCTTATCTACCCATATCGAATGAAACCACCTTTGTGAAAACTGTACCAAGACAGTTTGTAATTTTTTGACTCTTTTAAGGGGAAAAAAACAACACTTCCTCTGCATTTGTGTTCAACAAACCAGAGGCCTGTTAAACAGGCCTAAATATGTTTTCAGCAAATGCTAATGAAAACATAGAAATGCAGCAGCTCACTTTCCAGTGCTGGCTTTCTAAAAAGAACCCCAAGCAAGCATGGACCTGAAGGCAAAACTACAATAAACAAGAGGGCCCGGAACCCATTTTACAAATTAGCAACCCACAAACAATGCTACAAAGTTCAACTTCTTTAAAAATTAACAGTGTTTCAGCCGAGCAAGGTGGCTCATGCCCGGAATCCCAGCACTTTGGGAGGCCGAGGTGGGCGGATCACCTGAGGTCAGGAGACGAGCCTGACCAACATGGAGAAACCCCGTCTCTACTAAAAATACAAAATTAGCCCGGCGTGGTGGGGTACGCCTGTAATCCCAGCTACTCGGGCGGCTGAGGCAGGAGAATCACTTGAAGCCGGGAGGCGAAGGTTGTGGTGAGCCAAGATCACGCCATTGCACTCCAGCCTGGGCAACAAGAGCAAAACTCCGTCTCAAAAAATAATAATAATAATTAATAGTGTTTCATAGGAAAAGATTAAAAATTTAAAAAGATTAAAAATAAAAATAAATGTCCTCTGGTAAGGGTCCACCTACAACCAGGAAGGTTTATGGAATTTTCCTGAGCATAATAGATCAAGAGGCCTGTAACCATTATAAGAAATAAAAGAAATATAATAGAAAATTACAAAGTCAAAGCTGCTGCTTCAGAAAGTGGCACATCTAATCCCCACCAGTCAGAGATCAGAAAGGAATGCACAGCAAAATACCAGAATTTCCAGCTCACAGTAAGAATAATCAGAGATGGAGAAATGGGGTGACTCCATGATCATAAGACAGTGCAGACTTTCTTAGAGCGATTAATTCCCAGCCACCCCTTGAGCAATTTCCTATCATTTCAATGAAAACAAAGAGAAGAGGCAGCCATGGTTAACACACACACAGGCTGTCTACAGTACCAGTACCTGTTGTTGTTTCATACCTAATATAAAAGCAATTCCTTTTTCATAAGTTACAAATATAGTCATATGTGTGCAACATTTTGATCAATGATAGACCTTGTATAAGGTGGTGATCATACAAGATTACAATATCATATTTTTTTTAAATTGAGATGGAGTCTCACTCTGTCACCCAGGCTGGAGTGCAGCCTTGACCTCCTGGGCTCAAGCGATCCTCCCACCTCAGGCTCCCAAGTATCTGGGACCACAGGCACATGCCACCACACCTAGCTAATTTTTAATTTTTCGTAGAGATGGAGTCTCCCTGAGTAGCACAGGCTGGTCTTGAACTCCTGGGCTCAAGCGATCCTCCTGCCTCTGCCTACCAAAGTGCTAAGATTATAGGCATGAGCCACCAGGCTCTGCCAACACCGTATTTTTACTGTACCTCTTCTATGTTTAGATACACGAGTACTTACCATGGTGGTACAGTTGCCTTCAGTATTCAGTACAGTCACTGTATACAGGTTTGCAGCCTAGAAGCCATAGGCATCCCATATAGCCTAGGTGTGTAGTAGGCTACACCATCTAGGTTTGTGTAAGTGCACTCTATGATGTTCACACAAGGATGAAATGGCCTAATGCTACATTTCTCAGAATGCATCCCCATGGTTAAGCAGTGCGTGACTGACTGTCTACACTGATATAGCGGCATGAATACATACCAAAGTTTCCTAACGCATTTGAACATGCACATCTTAATTGTGTATGACTTTCCAACATGCCTGAAAACACTTACATCTAACTGTACAAATGGACTTGCCAGCTCTTTTCCTAAGCAGCCTTTTGAATATGGTTCAAGTTCTCTGTCAAGAGAAGCACACCATAAGGACAGCAAAGGGAATCGTGGGCAAAGACATTGAGGCTGCCATAAGTGCAGAAAAACAACTGTTTCTTTCATTGCCGCAGATGAAACAGATGTTTTCATTTGGGAAACAATGGCCAGACAAACATCTGGTAGTATAAGAAATGGCTGAGTTAAGATGCCCCCAATTTAAAACATTTGCCAATCTAGACGGCCCACTGTCCCTAAGTCTGAGAAAAATAATTGTTTTCCTAAAGTAACAAATATCTCCAGCTGCCCCACCGTCCACTCATCCCTGTACATTTCAGTTCTGCCGTTACACTCACCATCTTCAGCTGAAAACTCTGCCAGGAGAGGGGACAGAGTTGACTTAAATGGAAGCATTTCAAAGCATACGAAGCGGGGCCCAGTGATCCGCCCTAAGTATCCCCAGCCGTTCAGATCCCTCTTTGTGTTTGGTGGCTTCTCAGTCTCCTGTGGAGAAAGCTACGAGCATGGAGGTCCGGATGAGCTGGGTTCCCCACGTGGGGTGGGCGTGGGAAAAGAGCCTCTAGAAACTGTAAGAGAAAAGCAAGAAACAGGACTATTTTTCCCATGTTAGAAACGAAGAAAGCTGTAAAGTGATCCACGATGCGCGAGCCGTTTGGGGGTTCCATAGCACTGGGATCACCTTGACGGGGAGGGATCTCCAGTGCTTCCTCCCCCGGGCTGTCAGCCTTCTGATCGGGTAGGACCCCGGGGCTTCCATGCATGCCTTGGCGCTGCCCCCAGAGCCCCGTGTGTGGGTCAGGAGTGGGGAGGCTCCTGGCCGCCTCTGACGCGCCCCCTGTTGTGTTTCTCCCGCAGCCCATCTTCGGAGTCCAGCAGCAAGTGGCGCGGCAGGCCAAGGCCTTCCTGTCGCTGGGGAAGATGGCCGAGGTGCAGGTGAGCCGGCGCCGGGCCGGCGGCGCGCAGTCCTGGCTGTGGTTCGCCACGGTCAAGTCGCTGATCGGCAAGGGCGTCATGCTGGCCGTCAGCCAGGGCCGCGTGCAGACCAACGTGCTCAACATCGCCAACGAGGACTGCATCAAGGTGGCGGCCGTGCTCAACAACGCCTTCTACCTGGAGAACCTGCACTTCACCATCGAGGGCAAGGACACGCACTACTTCATCAAGACCACCACGCCTGAGAGCGACCTGGGCACGCTGCGGCTGACCAGCGGCCGCAAGGCGCTGGAGAACGGCATCAACGTGACGGTGTCGCAGTCCACCACGGTGGTGAACGGCAGGACGCGCAGGTTCGCGGACGTGGAGATGCAGTTCGGCGCGCTGGCGCTGCACGTGCGCTACGGCATGACCCTGGACGAGGAGAAGGCGCGCATCCTGGAGCAGGCGCGGCAGCGCGCGCTCGCCCGGGCCTGGGCGCGCGAGCAGCAGCGCGTGCGCGACGGCGAGGAGGGCGCGCGCCTCTGGACGGAGGGCGAGAAGCGGCAGCTGCTGAGCGCCGGCAAGGTGCAGGGCTACGACGGGTACTACGTACTCTCGGTGGAGCAGTACCCCGAGCTGGCCGACAGTGCCAACAACATCCAGTTCCTGCGGCAGAGCGAGATCGGCAGGAGGTAACGCCCTGCTCACATTGTCCTGTGGCACAACCCGAGTGGGACTCTCCAACGCCCAAGAGCCTTCCTCCCGGGAGAACGAGACTGCTGTTAGAACCCACACCCACACCGCGAAAACAAGGACCGCTTTTTTCTGAATGACCTTAAAGGTGATCGGCTTTAACGAATATGTTTACATATGCATAGCGCTGCACTCAGTCGGACTGAACGTAGCCAGAGAAAAAAAAATCATCAAGGACAAAGGCCGCGACCTTTTGCGCTGGGCCGTCTGCTCCTTTCGAGGCACTGTATTTAACTAACTTTAAAAAAGAAAAAAAAAACAATGCATACAGTGTTTCCAAATAGTCCCGAATTGTCGACCTTTGCTTACAAGAAGTAGTCTGTCTGCATAGGATGTGATAGCTATCTCTGTGCATTTTACAGTGTGGGGCAAAGTTACTGTTTCTAGACAACCAACTGCTTTCCCTGTGCAGCTTTGCAGAAAGACATTGGCGCAGTGACGTCTGCGGCGGGATTTGTTCATGGGTTTTACGATGCTAGCGTGGTTTGCCTTCGGGGAAAAAACTGGCAACTAGAATCCTTGCCACTGATAAGCAAAGGAAATCCTGATTTTTTTGTAAATTATGTGAGACAAGTTGTTTATGGATTTTTATATGAATTACAATTTACTGTACATCAAATATTAGTCTCAGAGGAGTTAATTTATGTAAAGTGTTTAAAAAGTTTATACTTAAAAATAAAATGATAAAAACGTGAACTGTGTGACTTTTTTAAAAGGATTGCACCTTTTGTTATCTGTTATAGCTGTACAGTATAAATTATTATATTGTAGAGATATAACAACTTATGCCTATAATGTCCAGAAGTGTTAATATTTTTGTATTAGGTTGAAAAAATGTGCAAGCTTCTATCACTAGATGGATAGGACCGTGCAATTCTAGGTGGGTGGCAAATCAGAGAGCTCCTTTCTCTTCCCTCTCTCACACATCAAGCCAGTGTCCTCAGCATTGTCAACTGAGAGGCACAGCAGACAACTAGGGCTGGTGGAATGTAAGGGAAGATTGGAGAAAACGGGAGGAAGGGTTCTCTGGCCCTCTCTCAACCTTGCCCGTCGATGGGGAGTTGATAGAATTAACCCCGGGGTTTTTACTGTTGCTGTTCCAAAGCTCTGTCTCATGATGGAGGAGAGACCACATCAGATGCTGGGGAAACAGGAGGAGGAAAGGATCTAATGTAGTGGTGATCCTAAACACGTGTCTTAAGATCTAGGAAAGACAGCAGAAACCGAGCAGTGGTGGGTGAGCAGATGGAGCCGGTCAGGGTTACTCTGCTAGTTTTGGGTTTGTACCCTTGGTCACCAAGAGGGACAAAAAAGGGAAACAGAAGCTCCTCTAAGCCCACATGACCAAACCATCTTGGGGCTGGTTTGAATGACAGCCTCTGCTCTGTCTCGGGGAAGCCGGGGGTGGCAGATCCAGCTGGAAGTGAATGGCAGCCGCGCCCTCCTGCACACAAGCAGCTCGCGTGTGGGAACCAGCCCAGCCGCCATCTGCACTTCCGTGTCAGCTCAGCCCTGACAAATCTCTTTCCTGAGCACTAAATTCAGCCACAAAAATATTTTTAGAAGATATTTCTCAGTTCATTGAGCTATAGTACACACTGTTTTCCTCTATGTATAATGGTGATAAAATATAGCAAGTGAACATGTCGTAAATATAAAGGTTCAAGTGATGTATTGAAAATAATTTTCTAACTGCTTTGTATGTATCACATACTCTAAATTGCACAGTAGGTGTGTTTATTAAACAGATTGGCTGGGAAAGTTTCAAAATAGCTACTGAATTTACAGTATCAGTGCTATTACTGTCTTTGTGTATTTGGTAGAGCAAACCGAAGTAATTAATCCTCTAATGAATGCTGATATTTTATTAGAATGAAAGCACAGATTAGCATTAATATTTTTTATTCTGGAAATCCTTTGGCAAGTATTAGGAAGCCCAAATTTAGAAAACTATGAGATTTCAAACCACATAAACATGATTCTGTTTTCCATTTTATTTTTTAACTGTTAACTTAGGTATTTGCAGTTCTGTTCCGTGAAACTTCTGCAGGCCTGTATTTAGCATGCTGTAAGTACTTTTGGGTGAAATAGGCTCTGAGTCTAAATTCTCAGACATGTTTCTGATGTAGTACCATGAAAAGCTTGTGCCACATGACAGAAGTGAAATCACAGTCTTAACCTCTTCTTGACATGGACTGGTCTTCACACAAGCACCAATAAATAACAGATTTGGAGTATCTCCTGGTGCTTATTTTAGATGAAGTCAAATCAACCCAATTAGTGTCTTGTTAGTAGGTATAATGAGCCTATTTCTTTCTAAAAAGACTTGTGATCTGGACATGCTTTTACGAGAAATAGTGACCTTGGGGAATATGTAAACAAAAGACCTTTTTCTAAGAGTTGGGAGGGGGTGGGGGACTGTATAATGAAAAGAATTAGCTTACAAAAAAGAAATTGATATTCAAAGTATTTTAGGCAAAGCCAGTCAAAATGCTTTCATGATATTTTGAGATGTAAATTTTGTCTGATTTGTATTGTTCTTTTCATTTGCCTTCTTAACTTTATATGTGACCTGAATTTTCCATAACTTGATGACTATAGATTGCATCTAGGCATTCCAATAAAAGCCAACCCAATGTGTGTGTGCTTTTATATTTTTTCAAATCTTGGGCTAGCCGGCATTGCTTTTGTGTTTAACGTGGAGGATGCAAATAGATGCAGTCGTTGGGGAATTGATTCATCTGCAACCCAGTTGGTAGTATCTTTTTTTTGTCCACTGGCCAGACTGCTGGCTCAGCAGAGTGAACTTCACAGGGGACCCTCCCATGGCCTACTTTAAGAAAACAGTAAACACACCCCCACAAAGCCAAACACACCAACTGTAAAGAAGAATTTACAAAAGTACCGCCCATTACTACTCGAGAGCAGGCTTCATTCCTGTGATCCTGGCAATAAGTGTGCTTAATTAAAACACTTGATTAGAAGAATCAGTTCGGGCCTGATAGGCTTGCAGCCTCCTGGAGATGTCGAAATCTACATATAGACCGGCTGACTAGAGGATGCTTCGTTCAGCAATTCTGGCCGGCAGGCCAGGGCTTTGATTTTAGTCGGAAAAGGCAGACTTCATCACACTTGCTTTCTAGTGACAACCTCAACTGCATAACGTGTTGATCCAACAAGAATCAGGTCATTCCACTCGGCAAACTGGTCTATTTTCTTCTCCTCGAATTAGACTTTAACATGATCAAAACGGAAATCCAGAAAAACAGGTGAATTACTGCTTTCCTTCTCTACACTCTTTTCCCTAAAAAGTAATGTCTGAACAAATGCAAATAAAAAAGGTGCCGGTAAAAATTATACGTTAGAAAAAATAATCAGAATATAGGATATGCTGCTGCTACATCCCGTGAAATTTGTGTCTTTACATTCACCACACATTTCCTAACAGTTGCATGGGGTTCTAACTGCCAGACCGCAACAGAAGGGCAGCACCTGAATATAAGCACCTCAAATCAGGACCAGTCCTCAAGCGCTTGAAAAGATGAGGAGAGGAGCTGGAGGTTACAATGAGCTGTGATCGCACCACTGCACTCCAGCCTGAGCGACACGAGACCCTGTCTCTTAAAAAAAAAAGAAAAAAAATTTTAATGAAAGAATGCCCTTGATGCTTTTCCTATTCGTGCCCATTCTTCACCCTGTTCACCATCTTTTCTTTCTCCTTTTGCCCCGGGCTACTCCTGAATGCAGTTGTTTCTCTCGCCTGCTGACAGCAAATCAGCTGTCCGAGGTGCTTTTGGAAAGGAGGGATTCAAGAGAGGAAGCCGGAAGGCACTGATCCACATCGTGTTCTGTCTGGGCAAAACCACCCAGGCGGTGCTCACAGCTGCTCGCTTGCTGTTGTACAGAGGAGGACAAGGTCCACCTGGACCAAGAACTGCCACCATCCACCTGGCAGGGGTGGGGGGTATCATTTGAGCTCTAGTCGAGTGGGGTGAGTGTGCCCCTGGGAAGCCTCAAAGGGCAACATATTCAGATCTCACCCCTTTCATAGATATCCAAATTTCATCCCACTTTCCTTCAAGGAGTGATCTGATTCCAGCATCCCAGTCCACAAAATGCATCCCATTCCAGAAGCTGGAGGTGGAAGGGACTTACAGAAATTTGAGTTGTCCAAGTTCACAGAAGTGCCTCAAGTTAAGGTGAGCAGAGATTCCCTTGAGCTAGTACCCTCCACTATGTCACAGCCTCCTCATAATGCTACCCGCGCAGGTACCGCAGATACTCCTTACCGCCCCTCTTCCCACGGACACTTGATCTTTCCAAAACTGCCATCATTTATAGCCAGGACTAGCATTTTTCATTCTATAACCTGATGACTTAGATTATGTCAGGTTATGTCCCCCGGACACTAAACAAAACAGATGCCTTGAGTGCCCCTCTGCTTGCCAGTATTTCTAGCTCCTCACGGCTCTACTGTATAGATAAACAAGTTTGACTGGCCATCATTTCCAAAACAAAGACCATTGAGCTGTTTACCTAGGTTTTCCACAAGTTTTTCATTTGGCTTTGAACACCCTACCAGACCCATGGAAAAAAATAAATAAAAATGAGTCATAAGTCATTATCGCCCATTTTAACCACAGAGTTAAGCCAGAGTACCAAAGAGGTAGTGATAAGCCATTTGAATTTTCGACCTTCTCATTTAAGCCACATAATGAATATCCTCCCTTTGCCAGACTTCTCATTTGCTACTTACCACCCTGCAGGCAATGGTCTCTCGATGTTAGTTAATTACTAATAACTTTTAGGTAAATTGAGTAAACCTTTTCATTTATGAACCGACTTAGAATCCTGCCGTGGAGGAATACGGGCTTCCTAGAGTCCTGTGGATGGAGAATTTACTATCAACCCATTCTAAGCCTAGAGTAACATCATTATTCAGTTTAGAGTTAATGGGTTCCTCAAAGCAAATTTAATAAATCCTTCTGGGATCTAAGCTCAGGAAAATTAAAATTAGAAGCATAAATTGTGACTTTTAGGGCAGGAGACTGACTTGGTAACAGTCCCCCTGCTTACAGGGTGAATTGTGAGCTAGGCTTAGCAGGCCCTGGCCACGGGCATTCATCCTGTATTATGCAGGGAAAGCTCGTTCTTCTACCTGTGTGCAGAGATTTCCTGAATTCCACCCACAGCGGCCATTTCTCTATGGCATAGCTCACCGCACACAACTGACAGGATTTACAAGTGGTCCGCTGGGTCAGAATGAATTCTTTAAAATTTTCACAAGTTAACTCTATCAATGGGGTGTGCGGGGAGCATAAATGCCCAAGGAGTTAAAATGACAAGTTCTCGGGCGTGACTGAAAGGCTGAAAATGGGGCGCTCAGTGGAAGTCGGTGAGGGCGCTCACCAGGCTCTCTTCAGCCTGGAGTTCTTATCGCGCCGTGATTAATGACCGCGGGCTGGAGGATGCCCCGTCCCAGACCTTCCTCCCACACGAACACTAGGGAAAGTCTAGTCTGCCTGTTCCAGAGAATATTCTGCAAAAATCGCCCCAGAACTCTTTGCATCCACGATGCGCTCTCTCTCCCTCCCTCCCTTCCTCCCTCTCTCTCTCTCCCCCCTCCCTCCCCCACTCCGCCCCCTCTCCTTTAAGGCCCGGAAGGAAAGCCATAGGGCTCCCTCGGTGGGCCAGGGGGACGTCGATGACTCAGGATCTCAAAAGGACCTACAGTCAGTCTGTCATCCCCAGTTTCCTCATTTATTGACAAAAGGTTACAAACAAGCAGATTGTAAAATATCCTTATTCAGCTATGACATGATTTCCAAGCTCAAAAAAAAAAAAAAAAAAACAAGCCTGGCGTTTAACTTCAGTCTGGAGCATTGACAGGTGACAGGTCACTGCAGAACACAGAGGCGACCCAAGGTAGAGAACGGGAAGTAGTAAGGGGAAGACAACACCCTTCCCTGAGTCCTACCTCAGCTGGGGCTTCCCTCTGGCCTTCCCCTGGGGTTCCCGGAACTCTGGCTTCTGCGGACGTGGAAAAGCCGTCCCAACATCCGGCGGCCCCGTGGGCAGGGATCCCGGGACGCCCCCTCCTGCAGCCCCCGCAGCCCCCGCAGCCCCCAGCGGGCCCCGGGCCGGTCCTGCAGGGGATGGCGGCGCTTTCAGGAAGGGCTCCGGCGCCCCCTAGTGACGCGCGGCCGTGGTAGGGAACGTCCTGGATGCCAAAGGGGTAGCTCCTGGGCCAGAAACCCAAGGGAAAGCGAAGGGAAGGCGCCGCCGCCCGCCACTCTCCACCCCAACCGCGGCGGGGCCGGCTGTCTGACCCTCTCTTCCCCACCTCTGCTCTGCCCCCCGAGTTTCACACTTACAGCGGAGACTTCCGCTTCAGCACCGCCTCACCGAGGCCTGGGCCCTGCCAAAGTGGCTGGGGTAAGATTTCCCTGCACGTCGAGCAGACACTGCCAAGCCGCGTGGCTCTCACTCACAGATCCAAATAAGGCCCTTCCTCCCAGGACCTGTCCTCGGGCTATCTGAGTTCTGCAGCCCCCTGAAAACCGTGACTTCTGAACTATCACATTGTTTCCCTTTTACTTTTCATGTTCACAGTCCTGTCGCTCGGAAGAATGTCCCAGAAGAACGGATCACTTACATTCAGAGTGGCATTTTTATTTCTGAGGGAGCTGGGCTCTCACGGAACGTGCTAGAGTGACAGCCTGGAGGAGCGAAAGCCGCCCCACCCCCGCTTCCCCGCAGCTCCCCAGCCGCCTCGGCCTGGCCTCCCTGCAGCAGTGACATCCAGTCTCCCTCCTCTACCCAAGCCTGCGGCAGCCACGAAAGCCACCGCGACGCAAAATTGGGGAGGGATTCAACCTTTTGCCCCTGGGCTGTCACCCAAAGAAGCCAACGGATGCTAATCTTATGTCGCAGCCTGTTTGCTGGTGTCCTGCCTTCAGAAACAGGCCCTGCGTGCAGCCCGTTGGCATTTTGGGAGGCCAATAAATAGCCCATTTTCCTACCCAGCTTCTTGCTGAAATGAGAAAGAAGGCCAGAGATGGCTCAGGAAAGCCAAAACATCACCCAGATAAAGGCAGGGTTGGGATGCAGCAGGCACAGCTGCATGTGAAATCCCAAAGGGCCACTGACGGGACGCCAAGATCAGCCAGGCGCTTGCAGCAGTGACAGGATGACGGGAGGCTCCCTGAGCCGGAGCCCGGCGCGCGTGCCCAGCTCGTTCCTCCCCACTCACCAGGAGGGCAAAGCGCTCCCCGGCCCACTGGGAGCCGGGATGACAGGGGGGGCCAGGAGTGAGATATCTCTCTTTCTCTCTCTCTGTCTGTCTCTCTCTCTCTCACTCTCTCTCTCTGTCTCTCTCTCTCTCACACACACACACTCTCTCTCTCTCTGTCTCTCTCTCTCACACACACACTCTCTGTCTCTCTCACACACACTCACTCTCTCTGTCTCTCTCTCTCACACACACACTCTCTCTCTGTCTCTTTCTCTCACACACACACACACTCTCTGTCTCTGTCTCTCACACACACTCTCTCTGTCTCTCTCTCTCACACACACACTCTCTCTCTGTCTCTTTCTCTCACACACACACTCTCTCTCTCTCACACACACTCTC